ATGGGGACAATGATCGTACTTTTTGGATAAATGTCCTCTGGTCTGATGAAACAAAAATATAACTGTTTGGCCATAATGACCATTGATATTTTTGGAGGAAAAAGGGGGTGGCTTGCAAGCCGAAGAACACCATCCCAACCGTGAAGCACGGGGGTGGCACCATCATGCTGTGGGGGTGCTTTGCTGCAGGAGGGACTGGTGCACTTCACAAAATAGATGGCATCATGAGGAAGGAAAATTATGTGGATACATTGAGGGAAAAAAGTATTTGATCCCCTGCTGATTTTGTAAGTTTGCCCACTGACAAAGACATGATCAGTCTATAATTTTAATGGTAGGTTTATTTGTACAGTGAGAGACAGAATAACAACAAAAAAATCCAGAAAAACCTATGTCAAAAAAGTTATAAATTGATTTGCATTTTAATGAGGGAAATAAGTATTTGACCCCTCTGCAAAACATGATTTAGTACTTGGTGGCAAAGCCCTTGTTGGCAATCACAGAGGTCAGACGTTTCTTGTAGTTGGCCACCAGGTTTGCACACATCTCAGGAGGGATTTTGTCCCACTCCTCTTTGCAGATCTTCTCCAAGTCATTATGGTTTCGGGGCTGACGTTTGGCAACTCGAACCTTCAGCTCCCTCCACAGATTTTCTATGGGATTAAGGTCTGGAGACTGGCTAGGCCACTCCAGGACCTTAATGTAGTTCTTCTTGAGCCACTCCTTTGTTGCCTTGGCTGTGTGTTTTGGGTCATTGTCATGCTGGAATACCCATCCAGGACCCATTTTCAATGCCCTGGCTGAGGGAAGGAGGTTCTCACCCAAGATTTGAGGGTACATGGCCCCGTCCATCGTCCCTTTGATGCGGTGAAGTTGTCCTGTCCCCTTAGCAGAAAAACACCCCCAAAGCATAATGTTTCCACCTCCATGTTTGACGGTGGGGATGGTGTTCTTGGGGTCATAGGCAGCATTCCTCCTCCTCCAAACACCGCGAGTTGAGTTGATGCCAAAGAGCTCGATTTTGGTCTCATCTGACCACAACACTTTCACCCAGTTCTCCTCTGAATCATTCAGATGTTCATTGGCAAACTTCAGACGGGCCTGTATATGTGCTTTCTTGAGCAGGGGGACCTTGCGGGCGCTGCAGAATTTCAGTCCTTCACGGCGTAGTGTGTTACCAATTGTTTTCTTGGTGACTATGGTCCCAGCTGCCTTGAGATCATTGACAAGATCCTCCTGTGTAGTTCTGGGCTGATTCCTCACCGTTCTCATGATCATTGCAACTCCACAAGGTGAGATCTTGAATGGAGGCCCAGGCCGAGGGAGATTGACAGTTCTTTTGTGTTTCTTCCATTTGCGAATAATCGCACCAACTGTTGTCACCTTCTCACCAAGCTGCTTGGCGATGGTCTTGTAGCCCATTCCAGCCTTGTGTAGGTCTACAGTCTTGTCCCTGACATCCTTGGAGAGCTCTTTGGTCTTGGCTATGGTGGAGAGTTTGGAATCTGATTGATTGATTGATTGCTTCTGTGGACAGGTGTCTTTTATACAGGTAACAAGCTTAGATTAGGAGCACTCCCTTTAAGAGTATGCTCCTAATCTCATCTCGTTACCTGTATAAAAGACACCTGGGAGCCAGAAATCTTTCTGATTGAGAGGGGGTCAAATACTTATTTCCCTCATTAAAATGCAAATCAATTTATAACATTTTTGACATGCATTTTTCTGGATTTTTTTGTTTTTTTATTCTGTCTCTCACTGTTCAAATAAACCTACCATTAAAATTATAGACTGATCATTTCTTTGTCAGTGGGCAAACGTACAAAATCAGCAGGGGATCAAATACTTTTTTCCCTCACTGTATATGGATGCAACATCTCAAGACATCAGTCAGGTAGTTAAAGCTTGGTCGCAAATGGGTATTCCAAATGGACAATGACCCCAAGCATACTTCCAAAGTTGTGGCAAAATGGCTTAAGGACAACAAAGTCAAGGTATTGGAGAGGTCATCACAAAGCCCTGACCTCAATCCTATAGAACATTTGTGGGAAGAACTGAAAAAGCGTGTGCGAGCAAGGAGGCCTACAAACCTTACTCAGTTACACCAGCTCTGTCAGGAGGAATGGGCCAAAATTCACCCAACTTATGTGGAAGGCTACCCGAAACGTTTGACCCAATTTTTACTACTATTATTCTGACATTTTCACATTCTTAAAATATAGTGGTGATCCTAATGGACTTAAGACAGGGAAGTTTTACTAGGATTAAATGTCAGGAATTGTGAAAAACTGAGTTTAAATGTATTTGGCTAAGGTGTATGTAAAATTCCGACTTCAACTGTACAATAAATGCGGCCTCAGGATATGTGGTTTTCAGTTTGCATAAAGTCCAGTGTAGTTCTTTGAGGGCTGTCGTGGTATCGGCTGGAGGGGGAATAAACATGGCTGTGACTACATCCGAAGATAATTCTCTTGGGATGTAATACGGTCGGCATTTGATTGTGAGGTATTCTAGGTCGGGTGAACAAAAGGACTTGAGTTTCTGTATGTTATCACAATCACACCAAACATACACCCCCGCCTTTCTTCTTCCCGGAGAGTCCTTTATTCCTGTCTGTGTGATGTACTGAGAACCCAGCTGGCTGTATGCACGGGGACAGTATATCCCGAGAGAGATGTTTCCGTGAAACAGAGTATGTAACAATCCCTGATGTCTCTCTGGAAGGAGATCCTCGCCCTGAGCTCGTCTACTTTATTATCCAGAGACTGAACATTAGCGAGTAATATACTCGGAAGCGGTGGATGGTGTGCACGCCTCCTGAGTCGGACTAGAAGTCCACTCCGAATACCTTTTGGAGCAGCCTCTGGAATAAGTTAAATTGCCCTGGAGGGTATGAACAAAGGATCCAATTCGGGAAAGTCGTATTCCTGGTCGAAATGCTGGTGAGTTAGTACCACTCTGATATCCAACAGTTCTTTCCGGCTGGATGTAATAACACAAACAAATTCCTGGGCTAAAAATTGAAGAAATAACACACAGAAAACCAAAATACTGCAAAGTTGCTTAGGAGCTAGAAGCAGAGCTGCCATATCTGTTGCCGCAATATTATAAAGATGAATTAATAGTCCAGTGTTTATTTGCTTCAATAACTAAACACAACAAGCGCTTACTAGACAGGCTTCTATTTGAGCCAGGCGTCTATTTTCTTACTAACCTTCAGTTCAACGTTTTGGATCAATCCCAAAATGCCTGGCTGTTGCCTGGCCCGAATTTTGCTCTGCGAATTTGATCACTGCTAGCTTGATTTTGATGTCGTGTTTTCTTATTGATGGTGCCATGGCTAGCAACATTGACAGAATAAAAAAAATGACCGTGGGAATATGAGCTGTGTCCATGGTAACCGTGATAGGTTGAGATTAGGTGCCAGACGAGATAGTTATGGGTTGAGGTTAGGTGCCAGACTAGATAGTAATGGGTTGAGGTTAGGTGCCAGACTAGATAGTAATGGGTTGAGGTTAGGTGCCAGACTAGATAGTAATGGGTTGAGGTTAGGTGCCAGACTAGATAGAGATGAAAGGAGTTGATGGGTGAACAGAGGCTAAATACTGCCTTCACATCTAATCTGAAAGGATGGAGGAGGTTATTTTTCTCTTTCTCGTTCTCCAAAGGAACAGATAATGGAGACGTAATAGTTTCTCTGTAGGTTGGCTCCATTCAGGCCTAAAGCAGCACATTGTCAGCCGCCAGTGGGTTTTCACAGGACCCTTCTTTCACAGGAACAATGAGGAGCAAGATGAACGTGTTGAGTGATTTCTCTTCTTGCACAATGCATCTCTCCTCTCTGTTTTCTCTCCTCCCTTTCTCCAACCTTTTCTCCCCTCCTTTACTGTCTTCTTGTCTGAAGGTTCTGTAGTAGCTGACGAGCCAACGACAAAAAAGTTTGACAATTGCTTTATAAAGCACTGATGGTGCAGTGGACCCATGCGTTGTGACTATAGCTCTCCCGACGTTGCGCCGTGTCACAACTTTTCGAGAATCCTATCGGTGTAGACTATTATCATACAGACTTTTCTAAGCATGTAGACCATTCGTATACAGACCTTCTGAAGGCTGTGCCTATGGGGTCATTGCCTGGATGTCGGTGAAGCTGAAGAGAAGCGTTGATTCACACTTTATGTACCCGTCATCACACTTGTCATGCTTCTCACACCTCTTTTTGTGTGTGTGTGTGCATGCCGAGATGTTGCCTCTGACAAGGATGACTAGTGTGACAGGAGCTATAAAAGCCACAAGTACCACATACTTTTGTTATTCATAAAATGTTGAGTATTTACCACAGACTGTCTATTGATTTGGCATCCATTTTGCATCTACACTGTCCCCCCCCCCCCCCCCCCTCCCTCCTGACCTTTCCCTCTCAGCGTGTTTAAGGAGATCAGTTTGATCAAGGCCAGCTGCAAAATCACTAATCTTTATCACATAATGAGTAGTTATTTGGTATGCAAGGTGATTTGTAGATCAGTGATTCTGTGCAGTCCGACTGCTATAATCTATCTCAAACACACTCTGTCTCTCTCCCTCTCCAGCCAACGTGGCGGCGGCGGCGGGAGGCTTCATCTACTTCCTGTCCTACCTGCCGTACCTGTTCCTGTGGCCTCGCTACGACCTGCTTAGCCACGCCCAGAAGGTGTCCGCCTGCCTCATCTCCAATGTGGCCATGGCCATGGGAGCGCAGCTACTGGGCATGTTTGAGGGCAAAGGTGAGCCATGGTCACATGTTAACACACATGCAGCCACATACACACAGAGAGACTCACAGAGAGACTCACAGAGAGACACACAGAGAGACACACAGAGAGACACACCAATTCCCTCATACCAATGTTGTGTTTAAATACCAACACTCCAATTATGAGTCTTCACAATCTATACATTTCAAATTTCTCTACCCAACTTTACTCACTCTCTGCCCTCCCGTCCATCTCCCCCTTCCCTCAGGCACGGGGATCCAGTGGTGTAACCTGTTTGAGCCGGTGACAGTGGACGATGACTTCTCCCTGGCCCATGTGCTGGGGCTGCTGCTGCTGGATGCCCTGCTCTATGGTCTGGTGGCCTGGTACGTGGAGGCTGTGTTCCCAGGGGAGTACGGAGTCCCCCTGCCCTGCTACTTCTTCCTACTGGTACGTAGGGGTGGGTGTAGGTTGGGTCTGGGGTCATTAGGGTTAGGCGGATGTCTTTGATGGTTTCTTTAAGTTCCACTAGGGTTAGGGTTAGACAGATAGCAATTTGAGTTCAACCAATGAGCTTCAGAGTGACAGCTAGCAAGAGGCGCACACACAGCAGAGTGAGAGAGAGAGCAATGACATGGTGCACATATCTGCACATATGTGACGTGGAACGCCATTTTCAGGGACCATGGGTGCTACTTTCATAACTACTGGCTAAAAAAGTAGGGCTATGGTTAGACGGATGACTTTGATGGTTCCTTTAAGGTCCACTAGGGTTAGGAGAATGTCTGATGGTTCCTTTAAGGTCCACTAGGGTTAGGAGAATGTCTGATGGTTCCTTTAAGAGGGGAGGGAGATGTTCTTAATAGCCACTTAGCATTAAACAGGCCAGACTAGGATGACTTGGATTGACTACCAGTAAAATAGACTAAGATGATCACATTTTCAATGACTCTCTGCTGGAAGGGAAACATGTATTTCATTTGCTGACGTTGCATCCAGTAATGAACAATAGTCTTAGTCAGCATGAGTTGGCTTGATAGAGAGAGAGAGATGAGAATAGACAAGGAAATGACTCTAGACAACTATACAATGCAATGCTTGTATTGTCCATTTCCATGGAAATTCATTTTGTGAGGTCAGCAATACTTTGCAGCAATAGTGCTTATTCCCTCCCTACTCAATAGGCCCTTTTCACGTGACGTCAGACAACTTCCGTTCTGCCGCGATGCAGGTTATGTTTACATCCGGTGTCGCTTAGGAACGCTTAGCTAGTAGCACATCATTATGGAGTTCACCCAGTCCCTTTCACATCTGCCACCAATACGACTTAACGACGTAGAACGACTTGCTGACAAGTGGTCCCTTACTTCAAGATCGAAGCTTGATAAAGGCTACAAGTTCTTCGTTGAAGGTTACCTGTTTGATTATGAAGGTACGTGTTTATCTTTATTTAGCTTAAATTAGCCCTATGCTAGCGAAGGTTATGAGCTGACGAGTTTCTGTTTTGCAGCCTCTTTTTAATATTACTGCTGTTTGTATCGACCGTAAGATAAGAGTCAGTAATGTATTAATGGCTAATGCTGCGCCCTTTCTCCCAATCACTGTATTGAAACAGTCTCAAGTGTAGTTAACGGTGAGGTGACAGTGAGAGGGCGATGTTACAGGTCCATGAAGAAAAATGAGGAGGCTCATCGGCTTCAGGTTTCTCAGATAAACAGTTCTCTAACATTATGATAAGATAGGTTAAGATAGATAAGTTTTCTTTTTGTTGTGTTTTGCTGCGGTTGCAGATTTAATAAGAATGATTCCACAAAGTTCCATCTGTGACACAAAAATTAAAAAGGAGTGGATGCTGCTTCTTAACTGTCAGGTGCTGGATCTCAATTTCTAGGGACAACACTTGCAGCTCCAACTCTCGAATTCTTTGAGTAGCACTGTCCAGTTTACCTTAAGGGGAAGAAAAAGCATACATGTTGGTAGGTTAGTTATTACTCATCTATCCCATCCCATTTTCAATAAATAAAACTGAAGAAGCTTCTAAGATGGATGAGGTTTAAAACGCCAAGTCTTTTCACAGAGAGACCAGTTACTCCAAATCGTAGTATAAAATAGTATTTTTACTTAACTGCCATATACTTTTACTTTTTTTGCCAAACAGATACATGGTTACTCTTATTTGTAATACTAACCAGGAGAAGGACGGCAGGCATAGTCGTGATCGTTTGTCACTGCAGGCAAAGCACCCTCTGTGCTGTCAGGCATCTCATGATCAGAATCATCCAGGACAGCAACACCAAGACGCTTTCTTGCTCGCTGGTAAACTGACTCCCGAGCTTGTGAGCCGCCTCCTATATGTGTGAAATTAACCATATGCTTGTCATGATACATTTTGGTAATCACTTTTCAGTCCCTAAAATGACAAAATGTAGCAGCTATATTGCATCAGGATTAAATTATTAAACATTTTGTACAAGTAATATATTATTGGATTACAGTAGTATTACGTTTAACGCTGTCTACCTATCCTTACCCCAATCATTCCAGTGGAATCTAGACGGCACTGATCCCTGTTTAATACGGATCCGTCCACTGGCCGATGTGTATCTATCCTCAGGGGGAAAGTGCTGACTGCAAACAAAGGTGCTCCCACGAAGAATCTTAAAACTTGGTCCCTCATCTCTCCTGATCGCCCTCACCCAACGGGCACCTATTTCTCCATCAACAGGGAAATCGTGAAAACTCAGATACGGGAATTTCTGTTTGTTGTTTGAACAAAATGGTACACTGCAATAGCATCTTCTCGAAGATTGTGCCATGCTTCGGTGTTGGATGGGATACTGTTGCGATACAGACACCGGGAGAAAAGAAACAGCTAAATTAACATTCAGCTTTGACCAGGAATCAATATTTATCTAGCTATCATGCACAACAGTATTTGAATAGGTGAGTTACTATACATTCATGAATAAACTAACTGCCTAACAAAGGGTTAGATAGCTAGCTAAGTAAACTTGTTACATTACAGCCAGGCAGCAATGTAACGCTACCTTTTAACGTTATCGGTATCTGGTACTAAGTTGTTGTTAGCTAACGTTAGCCCACTTTTAAGTAACTAAGGCAGTGAACAATTATGAATTAACAATAACGTTAGCAAGTTACAAACCATTGCATATACGTAAACATTATTACTCTTAACTTTACTAATTTAACTTAAACGTACCTTTTGGAATTTCTTCAAGTAGCTAGCTTGCTAGTTAGTGGTCAACAGTTGTATTTTCGTTGAGAAGTCTCAGGTTACGGGCGAACGGAAGTGAAGTTAACCTGCTACGCGGAAAGGCGGAAGTTAGATGACGTCATCGTGAAAAGGGCCTATTAAACATTCCATAGAGTCCTTTAGATTATTGTAATTGATATGCTAACTGCTTAACGAGAATGGGATGGATAACTATTTAATTAAGCATAAAACAGCCCACCCACATCGCAACCTTAATTTACAGTCACAGCTGTTGTTCTCCTTCAAGAGGGACGTTTTGTTGATTTAGTTTGGTGTGTGTGTGTGTTTCCAAACTCGGTCCTCGGGACCCCAAGGGGTGCACATTTTGGTTTTTGCCCTAACACTACACAGCTGATTCAAATAATAAACAAATCATCCAGCTTTGATAATTTGAATCAGCTGTGTAGTGTTAGGGCAAAAACCAAAACGTGCACCGAGTTTGGGAAACGCTGGTGTAGTGTCTTGATAAGGAGCAAAGAGACAGAGAGACAGTTTTTCTAACAACTCAATTACTTCCCCATTAGCGGCTGTATAGGGTGGTTTTGTTTTGTTTTGTTTTGGATGCATTGCCATTGACCTTAGTTTGGGTCTCATTGAATTGTTTTCGATCCAAAGCCCCTGCTAACACACCTGACTCCAATAACCAACTAATCATGATCTTCAGTTTAGAATGCAATTAGTTTAATCAGCTGTGTTTGCTAGGGATGTGGAAAAAGTGTGACACCACTCCGGCCCGAGGACTGGAGTTACCCATCCCTGACTAGGTCAAGGTTTACTCCATAGACAAGACCTTTGATAGAGGCATCTTTCTGATACTGACCATAAGGGTACGAGCTGAGGAAAGAGAAGCATTCCACTGATTCTCTCCTCTCTCTCTCTCTGTCTCTCTCTCTGTCTCTCTCTCTCTGTCTCTCTCTCTGTCTCTCTCTCTGTCTCTCTCTCTCTCTGTCTCTCTCTCTCTCTCTCTGTCTCTGTCTCTCTCTCTCTCTCTCTGTCTCTCTCTCTCTCTCTCTGTCTCTCTCTCTCTGTCTGTCTCTGTCTCTCTCTCTCTCTCTCTGTCTGTCTGTCTATTAATCTAATCTAATCTATAGCCATCCTACTGGTGCAGTAGCCCCCGCATGGCCATGGAGAAGGAAGAGGAGGACGTGGAGAAGGCATTGAAGGGAGAGTTCATTGAGGAGGAGCCAGCCGGCCTGGTCTCAGGAGTCAAGATCAAACACCTGAACAAGGCAAGGTCTTAAATGCAACCTGTCCACCCAGTCCCAAAATCGATCCCTACCCCTCCCCTTGGCTGTAACCCTATGATGTCTTTAGATCTGTAAGGTGGAAGCAACACGGTGGAAGCTCCTCCACTACACTGCTTATACTGTCCAGACCCTTCAGTTCCCTAAGCATAGAAGGTTAGGGCCAAGGAGTTGGGAGCGCATTGGGACTGAGACATCAAGTGATAGAACACGTTAAAAAAATAAAGAACGAAACCCCCTTGTAGCTTTACCATTATGGGAGTGTGTGTTTATTTCAGAGTGGTCCTCAACATGTAAAAGAGCATCTCATTTCATATTGTTATGTAATGATAATTTTGAACCTGAACTAGGCAGGAGGAGATTTTTTGTAAGTTTTCTTCCGTTTGAAGATTAATGAACACAACCCAGGGCTGGGTGGATAAAAAACGTGGCTAAATTTGGGAGAAGGAGATGAGGAGAAGGTGATTATGATGCTGGGCCCTTAGACCCAGGGGTGGAGATGGACAATAAAGACCATAATAATGACTTCCCCCAGGGATAGGTTGGTCATTGTAATCATTTATATGTAATGCTTTTAATCCAGGATAGGCTGGCCATTGTAATCATTTATATGTACAGGGCGGCAGGTAGTTTAGTGGTTAAGAGCATTGTGCCAGTAACCGAAAGGTCGCTGGTTCTAATCCCCATGCCGACTAGTTGAGAAATCTGTCGATGTGCCCTTGAGCAAGGCACTTAACCCTAATTGCTCCTGTAAATCGCTTTGGATAAGAGCGTCTGCTAAATGACCAATTTATTTTATATGTAATGCTTTTAATCCAGGGATAGGCTGGCCATTGTAATCATTTATATGTAATGACTTTAATCCAGGGATAGGTTGGCCATTGTAATCATTTATATGTAATGACTTTAATCCAGGGATAGGTTGGCCATTGTAATCATTTATATGTAATGACTTTAATCCAGGGATAGGTTGGCCATTGTAATCATTTATATGTAATGCTTTTAATCCAGGGATAGGCTGGCCATTGTAATCATTTATATGTAATGACTTTAATCCAGGGATAGGTAGGCCATTGTAATCATTTATATGTAATGCTTTTGATCCAGGGATAGGTTGGCCATTGTAATCATTTATATGTAATGATTTTAATCCAAGGATAGGCTGGCCATTGTAATAATTTATATGTAATGCTTTTGATCCAGGGATAGGTTGGCCATTGTAGTCATTTATATGGTTGGCCATTGTAGTCATTACATTTTAATCTTGCCAGGAGTTCAAAGTGGGTAACAAGACGCGGCAGGCTGTCAAGGACCTGACGGTGAACATGTTCGAGGGCCAGATCACGGTTCTGCTGGGGCACAATGGAGCCGGAAAGACGACCACACTGTCCATGCTGACAGGTGGGACACGCACACACAGCCATACACATTGCTACTTTTCCCTTGTACAATCTACAGACGGAATTGAAAACAGTAATGATGCTAACAGAACCAAAAGCATAGACAGTCCAGTGTTTTCACTCTAAAACCAAACTCACAATAGGCTTTGTATTGTATAACTCACTCCTTATGTTTCTCTGTGTATCCTCCAGGTATGTTTCAGTGGCAGGGACTACACTAACAGCTATGTTTCTCTGTGTATCCTCCAGGTCTGTTTCAGTGGCAGGGCCTACATTAACAGCTATGTTTCTCTGTGTATCCTCCAGGTCTGTTTCCTCCCAGCAGTGGCAGGGCATACATTAACGGCTATGACATCTGTCAGGACATGGCTCTGATTCGCCACAGCCTGGGCCTGTGTCCGCAGCACGACGTGCTCTTTGACAACCTCACTGTCCGGGAGCACCTGCTCTTCTACGCACAGGTAAGACATGCAAACACGCACGCAGAGACAGACAGGCGCAGAGACAGACAGGCGCAGAGACAGACAGGCGCAGAGACAGACAGGCGCAGAGACAGACAGGCGCAGAGACAGACAGGCGCAGAGACAGTCAGACAGACACCATTCCTTTCCCCTCTACGTTCCTTATCTTCTGTCCTCTTATCGTTCCTTCTAAGTTTACTTTCTCATTTTCACTTCCCCACACTTTAACTTTTCCTCACATTCCATACTTCCCTTCTTCCCTCTCTCTTGCGCTCTCTCTCTCTTGCGCTCTCGCTCTCTTTTTTTTGGTCATTTTAGCAGACGCTCTTATCCAGAGTGACTTACAGTTAGTGAGTGCATATATTTTCATACTGGCCCCCCGTGGGATATGAACCCACAACCCTGGCGTTGCAAGCGCCATGCTCTACCAACTGAGCTACAGGGGACTACATTACTGAGTACCACTCTTGCGCTCTCTCTCTTATGCGCTCTCTCTCTCTTATGCACTCTCTCTCGCACGCGCTCTCTCTCTTGTGCATCTCTCCAGCTGAAGGGGTATTCCTTATTTCTCTCTCTTCTTCAACTGAAGGGGTATTCCTTATGTCCCTCTCTCTCTCTCTTCTTCAGCTGAAGGGGTATTCCTTATGTCTCTCTCTCTTCTTCAGCTGAAGGGGTATTCCTTATGTCTCTCTCTCCCTTCTTCAGCTGAAGGGGTATTCCTTATGTCTCTCTCTCTCTTCTTCAGATGAAGGGGTATTCCTTATGTCTCTCTCTCTTCTTCAGCTGAAGGGGTATTCCTTATGTCTCTCTTCTTCAGCTGAAGGGGTGTTCCTTATGTCTCTCTCTCTCTTCTTCAGCTGAAGGGGTATTCCTTATGTCTCTCTCTCTTCTTCAGCTGAAGGGGTATTCCTTATGTCTCTCTCTCTCTCTCTCTTCTTCAGCTGAAGGGGTATTCCTTATGTATCTCTCTCTCTTCTTCAGCTGAAGGGGTATTCCTTATGTCTCTCTCTCTTCTTCAGCTGAAGGGGTATTCCTTATGTCTCTCTCTTCTTCAGCTGAAGGGGTGTTCCTTATGTCTCTCTCTCTCTTCAGCTGAAGGGGTATTCCTTATGTCTCTCTCTCTCTTCTTCAGCTGAAGGGGTATTCCTTATGTCTCTCTCTCTTCTTCAGCTGAAGGGGTATTCCTTATGTCTCTCTTCTTCAGCTGAAGGGGTGTTCCTTATGTCTCTCTCTCTCTTCTTCAGCTGATGGGGTATTCCTTATGTCTCTCTCTCTTCTTCAGCTGAAGGGGTATTCCTTATGTCTCTCTCTCTTCTTCAGCTGAAGGGGTGTGCCTTATGTCTATCTCTCTCTTCTTCAGCTGAAGGGGTATTCCTTATGTCTCTCTCTCTCGTCCCCAGCTGAAGGGATATTCCCAGGAGAAGATTCCGGCGGAAGTGGACCGGATCATCAGGATCCTGAACCTGGAGGACAAACGGCATTCCCACTCCAAGACCCTGTCAGGTGGGATGAAGAGGAAACTATCCATCGGCATCGGCCTCATCGGAGACTCCAAGGTCAGTATTGGTCTGCGTCTCAAATGGCACCCATTTCCCTATTCAGTGCACTACTATTGACCCAAAGGTATTGTCTCGTCACTCAATTCAAAATGACTTTAGTTATCCCAGAGGGGTAGTTAGCATGGCATTGTCAGTGTACAAGCATACAATAATCCATGAATAAATACATATTCACATGCACAGTGCCTTCAGAAAGTATTCACACCCCTTGACTTTTTCCACATTTTGCCTGAATTTAAAATGGATTCAATTGAAATGTTTGTCACTGGCCTACACTTTATACCCCATAATGTCAGTGGATTATTATTATTTTTTTATCTGTACAAATTAATAAAAGCTGAAATATCTTGAGTCAATAAGTGTTCAACCCCTTTGTTATGGCAAGCCTAAATACGTTCAGGAGAAAAAATGTGCTTAACAAGTCACATAATAAGTTGCATGGATTCACTCGGTGTGCAATAATAGTGTTTAACGGGATTTTTGAATGACTACCTCATCTCTGTACCCCACACATACAATTATCTGTAAGGTCCCTTGGTCGAGCAGTGAATTTCAAACACAGATTCAACCACAAAGACCAGGGAGGTTTTCCAATGCCTCGCAAAGAAGGGCACCTATAGGTAGATGGGTAAAAAAAAAGCAGACATTGAATATCCCTTGGAGCATGGTGAGGTTATTAATTACACTTTGGATGGTGTATTAATACACCCAGTCACTACAAATATACAGGCATCCTTTCTAACTCAGTTGCCGGAGAGAAAGGAAACTTCTCGGATTTCACCATGAGGCCAATGTTGACTTTAAAACAGTTACAGTGTTTAATGGCTGTGATATGAGAACTGAGAATGGATCAACAACAATGTAGTTAGTCCACAATACTAACCTAATTGACAGAGTGAAAAGAAGGAAACCTATATAGAATACAAATATTCCAAAACAGGCATCCTGTTTGCAACAAGGCACTAAAGTAATATTGCAAAAAATCTGGCAAAGAAATTAACCTTTTGTCCAGAATATCAAGTGTCATGTTTGGGGCAAATCCAATACAACACATTACTGAGTACCACTCTCATATTTTCAAGCACAGAGGTGGCTGCATCATGTTATGGGTATGCTTGTAATCGTTAAGGACTGAGGAGTTTTTCAGGATAAAAAGGAAACGTTATGGAGCTAAGCACAAGCAAAATCCTAGAGGAAAACCTGGTTCAGTCTGCTTTCTACCAGAAACTAGGAGATTCATTCACCTTTCAGCAGGACAATAACCTAAAACACAAGGCCAAATCTACACTGGAGTTGCTTACCAAGAAGAAGTGAATGTTCTTGAGTGTCCGAGTTACAGTTTTGAATTAAATCTGCTTGAAAATCTATGGCAAGACCTGAAAATGTTTGTCTCGCAATGATAACAACCAATTTGACAGAGCTTGAAGAATTTTGAAAATAATATTGGGCAAATGTTGCACAATCCAGGTGTAGAAAGCTCTTAGACTTACCCAGAAAGACTCACAGCTGTAATCGCTGCCAATTGTGCTTCTACAAGGTATTGACTCGGGTGTGAATACTTATGTAAATTATACTTTTCTGTATTTCATTTTCAATACATTTGCAAACATTTCTAAAAACATGTTTTCACTTTGTCATTATGGGGTATTGTGTGTAGATGGGTGAGAAATCTATGTAATCCATTTTGAATTTGGGCTGTAACACAACACAATGTGGGATAAGTCAAGGGATATGAATACTTTCTGAAGACACTGTATGTGCAACACACAAGGCTATTTCAACACATTTTACCCCTCTGGCTCTTTTTCTGTCCCTTCCCTTCCACCCCCTCCCTCTCTCAATCTCTGTCCATCCATCCCTCCATCTCACGACTCCTCCCCTCCAGGTGGTGATGCTGGATGAGCCCACGTCGGGCATGGACCCGTCGGCGCGGCGGGCCACCTGGGACCTGCTCCAGGGCGAGAAACGCGGGCGCACCATCCTGCTGACTACGCACTTCATGGACGAGGCCGACCTGCTGGGGGACCGTATAGCCATCATGGCCGGGGGAGAGCTGCAGTGCTGCGGGTCGCCGCTGTTTCTCAAGAACAAATACGGTGAGAGAAAAGAGTGAGAAAAAGAGGCATGCTAGAGAGGATAAAGGATGGGGCAAAGGGAAGAGAGGAGGGAAGGTAAAATGAACAGGTGTGATGGAGAGGTTGTAGAAAGTGAGAGAAGAGAAAAGAGGTGGAATAGAGTGGTGAAAGGAAATGGGTTGGACAGAATGGGTGGGAGGTGGAAGAGTGGGGAGTGAAGAATACAAGACAGAACGTGCTGAATGTGAATAGTGTGTATAACTAGTAGTTGTAGAATGTATTGAGGTGATAAGAGAATGTTTCAGAGATCTAACTTCATCTTCCTTCTCCTGCATCTCAGGTGCTGGCTACCACATGGTGATCGTGAAGGACGCGCTGTGCAACGTGTCTGAGATCACACGGCTGGTCCACATGTACGTTCCCAATGCCACGCTGGAGAGCAGTGCCGGGGCTGAGCTCTCATACATACTGCCCAAAGAGAGCACCAACAGGTAAAACAGATGCACGCAGACACACACACACCTGTATGTCTCATTCCCTCCCAACCTAAAATCAATACCCAATCTTACACAGGCTATCAGTGCCGATGGCCACAGCTCTGAGTTTAGTGTGACATACTATTTCAAGTTGGGTCCAATCTGAGGGTGTTGCTACTTGCTACAGTATGATTACAGAGACCTCTACTTCTAGAGGTGAGGGTGATATTTCAAGTAGATACAGTGGGGGAAAAAAGTATTTAGTCAGTTGTGCAAGTTCTCCCACTTAAAAAGATGAGAGAGGCCTGTAATTTTCATCATAGGTACACGTCAACTATGACAGACAAAATGAGAAAAGAAAATCCAGAAAATTACATTGTAGGATTTTTTATGAATTTATTTGCAAATTATGGTGGAAAATAAGTATTTGGTCAATAAAAAAAGTTTCTCAATACTTTGTTATATACCCTTTGTTGGCAATGACACAGGTCAAACGTTTTCTGTAAGTCTTCACAAGGTTTTCACACACTGTTGCTGGTATTTTGGCCCATTCCTCCATGCAGATCTCCTCTAGAGCAGTGATGTTTTGGGGCTGTCGCTGGGCAACACGGACTTTCAACTCCCTCCAAAGATTTTCTATGGGGTTGAGATCTGGAGACTGGCTAGGCCACTCCAGGACCTTGAAATGCTTCTTACGAAGCCACTCCTTCGTTGCCTGGGCGGTGTGTTTGGGATCATTGTCATGCTGAAAGACCCAGCCACGTTTCATCTTCAATGCCCTTGCTGATGGAAGGAGGTTTTCACTCAAAATCTCACGATACATGGCCCCATTCATTCTTTCCTTTACACGGATCAGTCGTCCTGGTCCCTTTGCAGAAAAACAGCCCCAAAGCATGATGTTTCCACCCCCATGCTTCACAGTAGGTATGGTGTTCTTTGGATGCAACTCTTTGTCCTCCAAACACGACGAGTTGACTTTTTACCAAAAAGTTCTATCTGACCATATGACATTCTCCCAATCCTCTTCTGGATCATCAAAATGCACTCTAGCAAACTTCAGACGGGCCTGGACATGTACTGGCTTAAGCAGGGGGACACGTCTGGCACTGCAGGATTTGAGTCCCTGGCGGCGTAGTGTGTTACTGATGGTAGGCTTTGTTACTTTGGTCCCAGCTCTCTGCAGGTCATTCACTAGGTTTGAGGTTGTGGACAGGTGTATTTTTATACTGATAACAAGTTCAAACAGGTGCCATTAATACAGGTAACGAGTGGAGGACAGAGGAGCCTCTTAAAGAAGAAGTTACAGGTCTGTGAGAGCCAGAAATCTTGCTTGTTTGTAGGTGACCAAATACTTATTTTCCACCATAATTTGCAAATAAATTCATTAAAAATCCTACAATGTGATTTTCTGGATTTTTTTTCTCAATTTGTCTGTCATAGTTGACGTGTACCTATGATGAAAATTACAGGCCTCTCTCATCTTTTTAAGTGGGAGAACTTGCACAATTGGTGGCTGACTAAATAAAAAATTTCCCCATTGTATATATAGCTGACGTCCCAAATGGCTCCCTATTTAGTGCACTACTTTTGACCACTTTTGACCTGGTGAAAAGTAGTGCACTAAAAAGGGAATAGGGTGCCATTTTGGTCACAGCCATAGTTGTTGGTTTTATCTGTATTGAGTGACTGTTGAGAGGTGGTTTAACGGCCTGAGATGTATCTATAGCTCCCCCATGACACAAGACTGTTTTAGATCCGGGTCTGATTGATCTCTGATGGATCAATGTTTTTACCTCTCCAGGTTTGAGCTGCTGTTTGCAGAGCTGGAGATGAACAGAGAGGAGCTGGGCATCGCCAGCTATGGAGCCTCTGTCACCACCATGGAGGAGGTCTTCCTCAGGTATGGGACCTCACTCACCACAGCTCCCAGGGAGAGTACCAGCTAAGTCTGGATCTCTCACCACAGCTCCCAGGGAGAGTACCAGCTATGTCTGGATCTCTCACCACAGCTCCCAGGGAGAGTACCAGCTAGGTCTCTCGGTACTGGTTCATATGAGTCAAATATTGATAATACACTTTACTTAAAGCCTGCCATTGTAATTAAGACTTGTCATGAGTATGTATGTACCTGCAGGCTTTTAAGTGTACACACACACACATACATACACACACACACCAGTGGTGGTCGGTGCCGTCTAAGATGAGGGAGGATGATTATTTCTATTACAGCATATTGGATGACTGTCTTTCATATTCCATTCACCCAATTCAATGTAACAGCGATAGGTTTAGGCTACTACGTGATACAAAAAATTTCCCTATACCCATCATGAGTTTGCTACAACCTACGAATGAAAGTTTACAACATAGATGAACGCAGGTCGAGAGAAACATTTGAGGTGACAGACAGTGACACATTCAATACCGCCTTGCACACTCTTGCCTGCATCTAGCTGATCTAGGGTGTAATCATTAGTCTAACAGTTGCAAACAAGAGTTTCTATTGGACAAATTCAGGTATGTTTATCCCCGTTTCGTTCCGTTTGCTTCCGTTTAAGAAAAGTTTTTCAACAGAATCGGCGGAATGAATACACCCCTGATCACGCGTAAACACAGTTCACTTTCATAGCAGCCGCGTTGTATTCCTTCTCACATCTATGAGCTGTCCTCCTCTCACCTTTTCTCTTCGTTTGTGGACTTCAATGCACAACACATCAGCTGTATGTGACCAGGCGAAAAAACCTTTCCAAGCCAAACCATATCATAACCACTACAGCCTACATCGTTGTCACCAATTTGTAGTCAACATACAGTTGAAGTCGGAAGTTTACATACACCTTAGCCAAATACATTTAAACTCAGTTTTTCACAATTCCTGACATTTAATCCAAGTACAAATTCCCTGTCTTAGGTAAGTTAGGATCACCACTTTATTTTAAGAATGTGAAATGTCATAATAATAGTAGAGAGAATGATTTATTTGAGCTTTTATTTCTTTCATCACATTCCCAGTGGGTCAGAAGTTTACATACACTCAATTAGTATTTGGTAGCATTGCCTGTAAATTGTTTAACTTTGGTCAAACGTGTCGGGTAGCCTTCCACAAGCTTCCCACAATAAGTTGGGTGAATTTTGGCCCATTCCTCCTGACAGAGCTGGTGTAACTGCGTCAGGTTTGTAGGCCTCCTTGCTCGCACATGCTTTTTCAGTTCTGCCCACACATTTTCTATAGGATTGAGGTCAGGGCTTTGTGATGGCCACTCCAATACCTTGACTTTGTTGTCCTTTAGCCATTTTGCCACAACTTTGGAAGTATGCTTGGGGTCATTGTCCATTTGGAAGACCCGTTTGCGACCAAGCTTTAACTTCCTGACTCATGTCTTGAGATGTTGCTTCAATATATCCACATAATTTTCCTTCCTCATGATGCCATCTATTTTGTCAAGTGCACCAGTCCCGCCTGCAGCAAAGCACCCCAACAGCATGATGCTGCCACCCCCGTGCTTCACGGTTGGGATGGTGTTCTTCGGCTTGCAAGTCTCCCCTTTTTCCTCCAAACATAACGATGGCCAAACAGTTTATATTTTTGTTTCATCAGACCAGAGGACATTTATCCAAAAAGTAAGATCTTTGTCCCCATGTGCAGTTGCAAACCTTGGTCTGGCTTTTTTATGACGGTTTTGGAGCAGTGGCTTCTTCCTTGCTGAGCGGCCTTTCAGGTTAGGTCGATATAGGACTCGTTTTACTGTGGATATAGATACTTTTGTACGTGTTTCCTCCAGCATCTTCACAAGGTCCTTTGCTGTTGTTCTGGGATTGATTTGCACTTTTCGCACCAAAGTACGTTCATCTCTAGGAGACAGAACGCGTCTCCTTCCTGAGCGTTATGACGGCTGCGTGGTCCCATGGTGTTTATACTTGCAAACTATTGTTTGTACAGATGAACGTGGTACCTTCAGGCATTTGGCAATTGCTCCCAAGGATGAACCAGACTTGTGGAGGTCTACAATTTATTTTCTGAGTTCTTGGCTGATTTTGTTTCATTTTCCCATGATGTCAAGCAAAGAGGCACTGAGTTTTGAAGGTAGGCCTTGAAATACATCCACAGGTACACCTCCAATTGACTCAAATGATGTCAATTAGCCTATCTGAAGCTTCTATAGCCATGACATCATTTTCTGGAATTTTCCAAGCAGTTTAAAGGCACAGTCAACTTAGTGTATGTAAACTTCTGACCCACTGGAATTGTGATACAGTGAATTATAAGTGAAATAATCTGTCTGTAAACAATTGTTGGAAAAATTACTTGTGTCATGCACAAAGTAGATGTCCTAACCGACTATCCAAAGCTAGTGGTTGAAAAACGAGTTTTAATGACTCCAACCTAAGTGTATGTAAACTTCCGACTTCAACTGTAGCTACAATCATGCAGTAACGTTACAGTGTACAGTCAGTAAGCAGTTTAGTACTTGCACCGGCGGGCCCCGGTGGCAATAAATTAGTAAAACCAAAAGCTTACCTTGACTTGGAAGAGTTCCAGTGTTGTTTTGGATAGTCATAGCCAGCTAGCTAACATAGCATCCCTCTATTTGAGCAGGGTGTTTGAGTAGGCTTAACTAGCTAGCTGCATTTGCTAGCTAAGTAAGTGAAACTGAAAGTAAAAAAACAAAATGACAATCTCTATCGCTCTCTTGCTTCTCCTTCATCTTTCTCTCTCTTTGAGTCAACTACTCACCACATTTTATGCACTGCAGTGCTAGCTAGCTGTAGCTTATGCTTTCAGTACTAGATTCATTCTCTGATCCTTTGATTGGGTGGACAACATGTCAGTTCATGCACGAAAGCTCTGATAGGTTAGAGGACATCCTCCGGAAGTCGTCATAATTACTGTGGAAGTCTGTGGAAGGGGGTGAGAACCATGAGCCTCCTAGGTTTTGTATTGAAGTCAATGGACCCAGAGGAGGACGGAAGCTAGCTGTCCTCTGGCTCCACCATGGTGCTACCCTACAGAGTGCTGTTGAGGCTACTGTAGACCTTCATTGCAAAAAAGTGTTTTTTTAATCAATTATTTGGTGACGTGAATATACTTTGTGTATTTGTATCTAAAAAGGATAACTTTTTTAATGTTTTACCATGTTTATTTGTATGAAATTCACAGAGGAGGATGGTCCTCCCCTTCCTCCTCTGAAGAGCCTCCACTGACACCCACACTTATTCCAGTTCTCATCTTCCGCTCAATTACTCCATCACCAGCCAGCTGCCTTCAGCCTACTTCTGAGCAATTATTTATGTCTGTGTGTTTAAAGCCTGTTTGTCTGTGTGTGTTTTGAGCATATTTTAATGTTTGTGTGTGTGTGTGTTTTGAGAGTAATCTCATGTGTGTGTGGGGGGGGGGGTTTAGTACAGTTTGTGTTACTGTCTGTTAGTACAGTTTGTGTTACTGTCTGTTAGTACAGTTTGTGTGCGTGCACACGTTCTTGTAGGCATGCGTTCTTTCAGTAGGACACAGCTGTAAAGGCTCTAAACAGGATGTAGCAATTACCTCCAAAATGTCTCATTTCAGGCGTCATTATTTTTACATCATGCTGTGGGTCTATCAGTGAGTGTCTCAGTCATTAACCGTATACAAAAGCCTCATTAGTCCTCTATTTGTTTTCAACTACACTAAAAGCCACCATCTTAACACATGTTCAATCTGTTCACACTGGTACATACTGTAGCTGAAGGTGTAACACCATTTAAATTAATCCTATCATTAGGGTTTATTTTTAACTACACTAAAAGCCACCATCTTAACACGTGTTCAGTCTGTACATACCCTGGCTGGTACATGCTGTAGCTAAAGCCTTAACTGGTCTTTTCAGTTTATTTTCAGCCCTACAACATACAGCCTCTTTCCATTATTAATTTCATTCAGCTTTATTCCCACCCTGCTCTTTGAAGGGGTGGACCATCTACATTAGTCCTGTCATTTCAGTTTCTGTTCACATATGCTGAAAGCTACCTAATTTAACACCTGTTCAGACTGTTCTTACTTTGGCTTAGTAAGTTCTGCTTCTTTTCATCTTACTACATATGTGGTCTCATGGCCATTATCAATTTGATGGAGCTACTGCAGAGGCCCCTAGTCCATTTTCATTGCTGATCTCTTATAGAACTGTTAGATGAAGCTCCTTGAAAATTTAGCTGTAGATGGAATCAAATGTTGCCGCTCCGTCTCTCTCCTCTACCTGTCTTTGTCTGCCTGTTGTAACAGACAGATGTCTGTCAGGCATTGTGGGAGTGGAGATTGGCTGGCTGAATTCATCATAGATTTGTAACGAACAGAAATAGTGTTCTGGCTATTGTGGTTGTCCAAGCTCCTGTCCATCCCCTCTGAGAGGGAGAAGGCGTAGAGAGTTAGCAGGGCTGGAACGACATAAAATGCTCACCATCACCAATAACACACACTTATTAAGTACTCTCCAATGTGCTCCTTTGTTTTGTGTACAATAGACACCCCCCTGGGGTGTGTTCCTGAGTCCTGTGAAGAGATTTCAGCATCAAAATCCCATCTGATTTGCACAGAGTGCTCTCTCCATAAGCCACTTCCTGAACACGATGATTCATCCAATTATGAATTAATGTTTAATGTCTATAATTAAGTTTTGTACAAACTGTCAAGATGTCATACAGTACAAAGAAAGGGTCCTACGTTCTTCCGGACCACCTGACATGATTAAGAAAAACTAAAGTTTCCTGGTCAGATCACATGTTCTGGGAAAAACTCAGCATAGTTCATTTAATATACAGCTGAATTAAATTGTCATAATCTCATCATTTAACACTAGGTATCTAACTACTTTAAATTGTATATTTCCTTATATGTTGTCATGATAAAGCTCAGTTCAGTAGGGTAGCTCAATAAAATTGTTATAACTAAGTTGTATTCGTCCCTGTGTACTGTCAGACTAGAGAAGTGCACTAAGTTGCATACAGTGCCTTGGGAAAGTATTCAGACCCCTTGACTGTTTCCACATTTTGTTACGTTACAGCCTTATTCTAAAATGGATTAAATAAAGGTCCCCAAGAACACAGTGGCCTCCATTATTCTTAAATGGAAGAAGTTTGGAACCACCAAGACTCTTCCTAGAGCTGGCCGCCCGGCCAAACTGAGCAATCAGGGGAGAAGGGCCTTGGTCAGGGAGGTGACCAAGAACCCGATGATCACTCTGACAGAGCTCTAGAGTTCCTCTGTGGAGATGGGAGAATCTTCCAGAAGGACAACCATCTCTGCAGCACTCCACCAATCAGGCCTTTATGGTAGAGTGGCCAGATAGAAGCCAGTCCTCAGTAAAAGGCACATGACAGCCCGCTTGGAGTTTGCCAAAATGCACCTAAAGACTCTCAGACCATGAGAAACAAGATTCTCTGGTCTGATGAAACCAAGATTTAACTCTTTGGCCTGAATGCCAAGCGTCATGTCTGGAGGAAACCTGGCACCATCCCTACGGTGAAGCATGGTGGTGGCAGCCGTCATGCTGTGGGGATGTTTTTCAGCGGCAGGGACTGGGAGACTAGTCAGGATCGAGGCAAAGATGAACGGAACAAAGTACAGAGAGATCCTTGATGAAAACCTGCTCCAGAGCGCTTAGGACCTCGTCCTGTTGGAAGGTGAACCTTCACCCCAGTCTAACGACCCTAAGCACACAGCCAAGACAACGCAGGAGTGGCTTCGGGACAAGTCTCTGAATGTCCTTGAGTGGCCCAGCCAGAGCCCGGACTTGAACCCGATCGAACATTTCTGGAGAGACCTGAAAATAGTTGTGCAGCAACGCTCCCCATCCAACCTGACAGAGCTTGAGAGGATCTGCAGAGAAGAATGGAAGAAACTCCCCAAATACAGGTGTGCCAAGCTTGTAGCATCATACCCAAGAAGACTTAAGGCTGTAATCGCTGCCAAAGGTGCTTCAACAAAGTACTGAGTAAACGATCTGAATACTTATGTCATTTTTTCATTTTTACTAAATTAGCCAACATTAAAAAAAAACATGTTTTTGCTTTGTCATTATGGGGTATTGTGTGGAGATTGATGAGGGAATAAAACAATTTAATCCATTTTAGAATAAGGCTGTAACGTAACAAAATGTGGAAAAAGTCAAGTGGTCTGAATACTTTCCAAAGTTACTGTATGTCCCTGTGTACTGTCAGGCTAGAGAAGTGCACTGAGTTGCATATGTCCCTGTGTACTGTCAGGCTAGAGAAGTGCACTGAGTTGCATATGTCCCTGTGTACTGTCAGGCTAGAGAAGTGCACTGAGTTGCATATGTCCCTGTGTACTGTCAGGCTAGAGAAGTGCACTGAGTTGCATATGTCCCTGTGTACTGTCAGAATGGTAAAGATAAGTAATAGATACAACATCAACCATATTATAATGTTTGTATTTCCTTGTGTGTGTCCTCAGAGTGGGGAAGCTGTTGGTCTCTAGCCTGGACATCCAGGGTTAGGGTTAGATATAATGCTACTGTACTAAGCTGTACATTCCTGTGTATTCCCAGAGTGGGGAAGCTGGTGGATTCTAGCCTGGACATCCAGGCCATCCAGCTGCCAGCGCTGCAGTACCAACACGAGAGACGCTCCCACGACTGGACCTTGGACGACGCCAGCAGCTACAGCGCCATGACCGACGTTACCGACTTCACTGACAGCGGCACGCTCATCTCCGAGGACTGCTCCAACATCAAGCTCAACACAGGGGTGAGAGAGGATAGTTTTTTGTGTGGATTCAGGCAGAAAGTAAGCTGAATGTCAATATAGAAGGTTGCCTGTTAACACATCTTCTCTTTCTGTCATCAATATGGTTTATTAATAGGAAAGTTTAGGAGCTTACAAAATATAGGAACATACTGTATTAAATCACAGATGATATGAAAATAATGTATGTCTGTCTGTCTGTGTCTCTGTCTGTGTCTCTGTCTGTGTCTCTGTCTGTGTCTCTGTCTCTGTCTTTCTAGGCCAGATTGTACATGCAGCAGTTCTATGCCATGTTCCTGAAGCGGGCGCTCTATAGCTGGAGGAACTGGAAGGTGATTGTTGCCCAGTTCCTGGTGCCCCTGGTGTTCACCGTGCTGGCCCTGGTGGTGGCGAAGACCTTCCCCGGGCGCCACGACTCACCGCAGTTGAGGCTGGCACTGGGCCGCTACGGGCCCACCACCGTACCCGTGGCCCTGGAGCCCGGCAAGGGACCTCTGGCAATCGCCCTGGCACAGGTGTATTCCTCGCAATTGGCCGCCCAGAAAGCCCAGGATGTCAGTATTAGCGGTAAGCGTGTCAGCATGTTGGAAGGGATCGGATGATCACATAATGAGTAGTTATTTGAGATGCAAGGTCATTTGTAGATCAGTGATTCTGTGCAGCCTGTCTGCAATCTAGTCAATCTCAAACACGCATGGTGGAATCTACTTCAGGCTTTAGACCATAGAGATGCACCCATGGAAAAAGCTTATCTTTACTGATCCACCCTATCCCCTGCTCCTTTTCCTTAGACTTCACTGAGTACGTGCTCACCAAGACCGAGGAGGAGGGCGGGGCATTCAACGAGCGCTGCGTGGTGGGTGCATCGTTCTGTGGCGGCACGGGGAAGTTCGCCGAGGTCACGGCCTACTTCAATAACCAGGGCTACCACACGGCCGCCACGGCCCTGATGATGGTGGACAATACCCTGTTCAAGATGCTGGCCGGGCCCAACGCCTCGATTATGACGGGAAACATGCCAATGCCCCGCAACGTCTCCGAGAGTGCTCAGAGTCAGCTGACAGAGTGAGTGGAGGTGGGGAATGGGGAGGATGGCAGGGATATAGGGGAGGAAGGGAGGAGGAAGGGGGGAGGGAGGGAGGGATGGGGGAATGGAAGTGGAGCGGGTGTTATGAAAAGAGGAGAGGGGATGGGAAAGGAAGGGAGAATGGATGAAAAAAAAAGGAGAGAAGTTGTAGGGACGGAAAAGAGGGTATGGAAGGAACACAGGTGTTATCTTTAACACATTTGAGAAGAGGGGTGAATGTTTAGTTGGGTACTCTGCATGAGTCACTCTGACTCAGTCGATTTATCTTCCTTATTGTTGTTAGATAGAAGTTGACTTTTCCATCAACCACCTTGTTTTGGGTCCCTATTATGGTCTCTCCTTTAAACACCTGCGGTCCACACATCCGTTACAGCCACTAAATCCCAATTAAACCAGGCTACGTCCCAAATGGCACCCTATTCCTTATAGAGTGCACTACTTTTCACCATGGTCCATAGGGCTCTGGTCAAACGTAGTGCACTATGTAGGGAATAGGGTGCCATTTGGGATGTAGGCCCAGTCAATGAGCTCCCGGCCCTGCTGGCTGGATCGATGGGGAAGCAACAGAGGTTGATGATAAGTTAGGGTCTGAGGGGGAGATATTGACCAACATCATTCATCAGGAGGTTTTTTAGAGGTGAGAGGATAAAGAGAGAGTGGTAGTGGTTCGGTCAGCGAAGTTATATTGATGGGAGGAAGGACTGAGTGAGAGAAGGATGAGAGGATAGAGGTCTGATGAAGATGAATATTTCTAGTTTCATAATACTCCTCCATCTCTCTCTCTCCTTTTCCCCTCTGTCTGCCTACCTCACCACTCAATAAATAATTTGCTTCCTCCCTTACTTTTCTTTCTCTTTTTCTGTCACTCCTCCCAGCTCCATCCCCTTCTTTCTTTTCCTCCCGTCTCTTTCACACTTGTTTACCCTCCTCTCTCTTTCATTGCGCTCTCTCTTTCGCTCGCTCTCTCTTTCTCTCCCTCTCTCCCCCTCACTCTCTCAATTCAATTCAAATTGCTTTTTTGCTTTAGGGACAGTTTTAATAATAAATAGTAATCCCCCCCCCTCTCTCTCTCTCACTCCTTCCCTCCTCGACACAGAGGTCAGACGGGATTCGCCATCGCCATCAACCTGATGTACGGTATGGCGTCCCTGTCCAGCACCTTCGCCCTGCTCCTGGTCACCGAGCGCTCAATCAAATCCAAGCACGTGCAGCAGGTCAGCGGCGTCTACCTCTCCAACTTCTGGTTCTCTGCACTGCTCTGGGACCTGGTCAACTTCTTCCTGCCCTGCGTGCTCATGCTGGTCAGTATACCATCTGGATTTACTTAAAGGCACAATGCAGCTGTTTTTATATCAATATCAAATCATTTCTGGGTAACAATTAAGTACATTACTGTGATTGTTTCAAATGAAAATGCTCAAAAGGAAACTGAAAAATATCGGCTATCCCCCCCAAACATCCCTCCCTCCCAACAGGTGGTGTTCCGGGCGTTTGCGGTCAAGGCCTTCGTAGCGGACAACCACCTGGTTGACGTGTTGTTACTCCTGCTGCTATACGGCTGGGCCGTCGTCCCCCTCATGTACCTGCTCAGCTTCCTGTTCTCCACTGCCGCCTCCGCATACACCCGCCTCACCATTTTCAACATCATCAGCGGCACCGCCACCTTCCTCACCGTCACCATCATGACCATCCCAGGTGAGAGCCAAGGCCAGGATACTAGCGTTTCACACTATCGTGCCGACCCAAACCAAACTGTGCCGGCTCTGATATTTTCAGGATGGGCCAGCTACTGTGGGGATGCGTAGCCAGTGCCAGCCTGGTGCTCTTATTTGCTTCACAACTGGGGATTAGGCTGGCAAAATACGCTGTGGAAATACATTTGATGAATTTCCCTTACCTTGATTCTCTTTTCTCATTACCTCTCCTCCTTCTCCTCCTCCTGTTTCCCCTCCTCTCCCTCTCCCTCTCCTCCTCCTGTTTCCCCCTCTCCCTCTCCCTCCCCTCTGTTTCCCTCCTCTGCCCTCTCCCCTCCCTCCCTTCCTCCTTTTCTCTGTTTTTCTCCTCCCTCTCTCCTCTCTCTCCTCCTCCTCACTCCTGTTTCCCCTCCTCTCCTCTCCCTCCTTCCCCTCCTCTCCTCCTCCTGTTTCCCCTCCTCTCCCTCTCTCCTCTCCCCTCCTCCCTCCTCTCCTCCTCCTGTTTCCCCTCCTCTTCCTCTCCCTCTCCTCCTCCTGTTTCCCTTCCTCTCCCTCTCCTCTCCTCTCCTGTTTCCCCTCCTCTCCCTCTCCCCTCCTCCCTCCTCTCCTCCTCTCTTCTCCCCCTCTCAGAGCTAAAGCTACAGGACCTGTCTCGTATCCTGGACAAAGTGTTCCTGCTCTTCCCTAACTACTGCCTGGGCATGTCCTTCAGCCAGTTCTACCAGAACTACCAGTTCATCACCTTCTGCACCTCCAACCCCATGGCCACGGGCTTCTGCCGTTTCTTGAGTGAGTAGTGCACGATTCTCTGCTACAGCAGGGAGAGAGAAACCGTAGCTGTATCACTGTGTCCGTAGTTCAGTAGGACTACCTATCGTATTAGTCGTTTTTTGGGGAGTGGGGTGGGGACCAAAAATGTAGAGTATTATTTTATGGAACAATATACAAATGTTATTGAGAAAGATAATTTGAAAAATGTAATGTTATTGTGTAAATATATGTATTGGTTCTCTTAATTTTGATAGGAGAGATACAAATGTAATGAGTAAAAGGTTGTTTGTTGATATTTGTTGATGTGAAAATAGATTTGGGGTGGGGTGGGGTCGCCACAATAAAAAATAAAAAAAAGGTGTCTCCAGAAATTCCTGCGTAAAAAATAAATAATGGGGTCCCCGCTGAAAAAGTTTGAGTACCACTGTGTTACATGATATGTAGTTGTAGGAATATTGTGTTGATGATGATGATCACAATAATGTTGATGAGAATGATTCTGACTACGACGATGGTAATGAGTATGATGAAGAACCTGTCCTGCCATTTTCTAGTTAACCCTTCGTAGCCCTGACTGGTCTTGTTGCTCCTCCCTCCTCCAGACATCACGTACCAGGAGAACTACTTCTCCATGTCGGAGCCGGGGGTGGGCCGTTTCCTCGTGGCCCTGTCCCTGCAGGGTGTAGTCTTCATCACCCTCCTCTTCATCATCGAGATGCAGTGTGTCAAAACCCTCTGCCGCTTCCTCACCCACCTCGCCAGGAGACGTAAACAGGTCAGCAGGGGAGGGGCCAGAGAATTGACCATAGGGTGCTGCCTCATGCCCCAGGTGGGTGGAGTTTTCACTTTATGACCTATGGAATTGTCGAAAATGTGCATACTCCGCCCACCTGGTGCCCTGAGCGAGATGAAACTAATGCCCCCTTTGTTTCTGTAGGGCTGTATACAAGAGGAAATTATACACATTTCTTTGAAGAATTTCTGATTTCTGAAAAGCTGGTATATTTTGGTGTGGTTGGGTACAAAATTCAACATAATGTTCCCTGTTGCAAATTCTTACAGCTGTATTATGCCAGTAGTATAAAAAGAGCCCATTGATAGTAATAGTCTGTATGTGTCTCCTAGCTGCCTCTGATAGGGGATGTGGCCCTACTGCCGGAGGACAGGGACGTAGCGGAGGAGAGGAAGAGGGTTCTGGAGTGTCAGCCCATAGTAGAGTCTATGGTGGGGAGCCCTCTCATACTGCAGGACCTCAGCAAGGTACAGCACCTGTCTGTTAGTCTGTTCTCCCTCCCAGGGGCATTCAGTAGTGGTGAGGGTCTCTCTCTCTCTGTCTGTCTGTCTCTCTCTCTGTCGTTCTCTCTGTGTCTCTTTCTCTCCTCTCCCTCCAGGTCTACAGCAGTGATCTCCCACCCTCTCCTCTCCCTCCCCCCCAGGTCTACAGCAGTGATCTCCCACCCTCTCCTCTCCCTCCCTCCAGGTCTACAGCAGTGATCTCCCACCCTCTCCTCTCCCTCCCCCCCAGGTCTACAGCAGTGATCTCCCACCCTCTCCTCTCCCCTCCCCCAGGTCTACAGCAGTGATCTCCCACCCTCTCCTCTCCCTCCCCCCCAGGTCTACAGCAGTGATCTCCCACCCTCTCCCTCCCTCCAGGTCTACAGCAGTGATCTCCCACCCTCTCCTCTCCCTCCCCCCAGGTCTACAGCAGTGATCTCCCACCCTCTCCTCTCCCTCCCCCAGGTCTACAGCAGTGATCTCCCACCCTCTCCTCTCCCTCCCCCCAGGTCTACAGCAGTGATCTCCCACCCTCTCCTCTCCCTCCCCACCAGGTCTACAGCAGTGATCTCCCACCCTCTCCTCTCCCTCCCCCCCAGGTCTACAGCAGTGATCTCCCACCCTCTCCTCTCCCTCCCTCCAGGTCTACAGCAGTGATCTCCCACCCTCTCCTCTCCTCCCCCCAGGTCTACAGCAGTGATCTCCCACCCTCTCCTCTCCCTCCCCCCAGGTCTACAGCAGTGATCTCCCACCCTCTCCTCTCCCTCCCTCCAGGTCTACAGCAGTGATCTCCCACCCTCTCCTCTCCTCCCCCCAGGTCTACAGCAGTGATCTCCCACCCTCTCCTCTCCTCCCCCCAGGTCTACAGCAGTGATCTCCCACCCTCTCCTCTCCCTCCCCCCAGGTCTACAGCAGTGATCTCCCACCCTCTCCTCTCCTCCCCCCAGGTCTACAGCAGTGATCTCCCACCCTCTCCCTCCCTCCAGGTCTACAGCAGTGATCTCCCACCCTCTCCTCTCCCTCCCCCCAGGTCTACAGCAGTGATCTCCCACCCTCTCCTCTCCCTCCCCCCAGGTCTACAGCAGTGATCTCCCACCCACCCTCTCCTCTCCTCCCCCCAGGTCTACAGCAGTGATCTCCCACCCTCTCCTCTCCCTCCCCCCAGGTCTACAGCAGTGATCTCCCACCCTCTCCTCTCCCTCCCCCCAGGTCTACAGCAGTGATCTCCCACCCTCTCCTCTCCCTCCCCCAGGTCTACAGCAGTGGTGAAACAGTATTGGCGGTAGACAGACTCTCTCTAGCAGTGGGGAAAGGAGAGTGTTTTGGCCTGCTGGGTTTCAATGGAGCAGGGAAGACCACCACCTTCAAGATGCTCACAGGGGACGAGACCGTCACCTCTGGTGATGCCTACATTGACGGCTACAGCATCCTGAGGGATGTCAAGAAGGTAGGAGAGCGAGAGGGAGGTAAGGAGAGGGAGAGAGGGGGGAGGGAGGGAGGGAGGGAGAGAGGGAGGGGGAAATTAGCACTTTTGAAAAATTATTAAAATTGTTTTGTCACATACACCGGATAGGTGCAGTGAAATGTGTTGTTTTACAGGGTCAGCCATAGTAGTATGGCATCCCTTGAGCAAATTAGGGATAACTACCTTGCTCAAGGGCACATCTGCAGATTTTTCATCTTGTCGGCTCGGGAATACTCAAACCTCTAAGCTAACTGCCGCCCTTACTTGAAAGTTCATTAGGGCACACCGTAGCAAAGCATTTTGCAACAGAAAACAAAAACTAGCATTTCCTTTTGAACACATACAGATAGGACCTTCTCAATTAGGGGCTGTTTTCTTACGCTTTGTGCCTCCTGAACACGAACCAGTTCTAATATACAATGAAACTCACAAAATCACCTTGCATGACACCACCCTCTCTCCCATGTGTCGTAGGTACAGCAGAGGATTGGCTACTGCCCGCAGTTCGACGCTGTCCTGGATCACATGACAGGAAGAGAAACGCTGTGCATGTACGCTAGGCTCCGGGGGATACCAGAGAAATACGTGTCGGGCTGCGTGGAGAACGTGCTACGGTCCTTACTACTAGATCCCCATGCTGACAAACTGTGCCGCAGCTACAGGTAAGCATTCAGGGGAGAGAGTAGGGGGGAAGGGGTTGGGTGTGTGTGTGTTGGTTTGGAGGTGGGGGACAGAGTGTGTGTGTGTGAGTGTGTGTGGGGCAGTTGCTGGTCACAGAGTCCTTTTCTTGCTCTATATTTGTTGTGCTCCTTCTGTCCCTCTAGACATAGCATGTCCTATAGTGTACACTCCTCCTTCTGTCCCTCTAGACATAGCTTGTCCTATAGTGTACACTCCTCCTTCTGTCCCTCTAGACATAGCATGTCCTATAGTGTACACTCCTCCTTCTGTCCCTCTAGACATAGCTTGTCCTATAGTGTACACTACTCCTTCTGTTCCTCTAGACATAGCTTGTCCTATAGTGTACACTACTCCTTCTGTTCCTCTAGACATAGCTCACGAATGTCAAGAGATTGCTGAGTACAAACACACTCCCTTTCCTCCTTCCTTCCTCCCTCCTACATACATCTCTCCATCTTGCCCCCCTCCCTCTCCCTCTCCCTCCCCCTCCCCATCCCTTCCTATCCCTCTCTCTTTTTCCCTCCTTCACCTCTTTCTCTCTCCCTGCAGTGGGGGCAATAAGAGGAAGCTGAGTGCGGCTGTGGCTCTGATTGGTGGACCCCCGGTCATCTTCCTGGACGAGCCATCCACCGGCATGGACCCGGTTGCTAGGCGACTGCTGTGGGACGCCGTGACGCGCACCCGAGAGTCTGGAAAGGCCATCATCATCACTTCTCACAGGTGAACATAGCGCGCACACACACACCGTCCTCTTCATCGCTAACATGATCATCCTCATTTCTTCATCATCTTCCACCTTCCAGTACAGCCATTACTTTGTTTCAGGAAGGAACAGAGAGACTCAGAGATTGAAATAGATGTTGTCATGCTTGGTATCTTCTTTTTATCTCTCTCAATCTTTCTCCCTCTCCTCTCTTTTTCCCACTGTTCTTCCCCTTCTGTCTTGCTCTCTCTGCTGTAGTATGGAGGAATGCGAGGCCCTGTGCACCAGGCTGGCTGTGATGGTGAACGGTCAGTTTAAGTGTCTGGGCAGTCCCCAGCACCTGAAGAGTAAGTTTGGCAGCGGCTACACACTGCTGGCTAAAGTACGAGTCGACAAGGAGGTGGAGGACAGCGACCTGCAACTCTTCAAGGACTTCATCGAGAGCACCTTCCCAGGTCAGAGACAAAAACACACACACACACACACACACACTTTTTCCACATTTAGTTACGTTACAGCCTTATTCTAAAATGTATTACATAGTTTTTTCCCCTCATCAATCTACACACAATACCCCATGATGTTTGCTAACAAACATTTTTTTTTTTTATGAAAGTATTCAGACCCTTTACTCAGTAATTTGTTGAAGCACCTTTGGCAGCGATTACAGCATCAAGTCTTCTTGGGTATGACTCTACAAGCTTGGCACACCTGTATTTGGGGAGTTTCTCCCATTCTTCTCTGCAGATCCTTTCAAGCTCTGTCAGGTTGGATGGGGAGCGTTGCTGCACAGCTATTTCCAGGCCTCTCCAGAGATCTGGTTCAAGTCCGGGCTCTGGCTGGGCCACTCAAGGACATTCAGAGACTTGTCCTGAAGCCACTCCTGCGTTGTCTTGGCTGTGTGCTTAGGGTCGTTGTCCTGTTGGAAGGTGAACCTTCACCCCAGTCTGAGGTCCTAAGCGCTCTGGAGCAGGTTTTCATCAAGGATCTCTCTGTACTTTGTTCCGTTCATCTTTCCCTCGATCCTGACTAGTCTCCCAGTCCCTGCCGCTGAAAAACATCCCCACAGCATGATGTTGCCACCACCATGCTTCACCGTAGGGATGGTGCCAGGTTTCCTCCAAACAGAACAAAGAGTTCAATCTTGGTTACATCATTTACATTTACATTTTAGTCATTTAGCAGACGCTCTTATCCAGAGCGACTTAGTTGTTGAGTGCATACATTATCTCTAGTGGCACAGCTAGCACTGCGATGCAGTGCCTTAGACCACTGCGCCACTCGGGAGGCACATCAGACCCAAGAATCTTGTTTCTCATGGTCTGAGAGTCTTTAGGCGCCTTTTGGCAAACTCCAAGCATGCTATCATGTGCCTTTTACTGAAGAGTGGCTTCCGTCTGGCCACTACCATAAAAGCCTGATTGGTGGAGTGCTGCAGAGATGGTTGTCCTTCTCCATAGAGGAACTCTAGAGCTCTGTCAGAGAGACCATCGGGTTCTTGGTCACCTCCCTGACCAAGGCCCTTCTCCCCTGATTGCTCAGTTTGGCTGGGCGGCCAACTCTAGGAAGAGTCTTGGTGGTACCAAACTTCTTCCATTTAAGAATGATGGAGGCCAATGTGTTCTTGGGGACATTCAATGCTGCAGAAATTTTTTGGTACCCTTCCCCAGATCTGTGCCTCGACACAATTCTGTCTCGGAGCTCTACGGACAATTCCTTCGACCTCATGACTTGGTTTTTGCTCTGACATGCACTGTCAACTGTGGGACCTTATATAGACAGGTGTGTGCCTTTCCAAATCCTGTCCAATCAATTGAATTGACCACATGTGGACTCCAATCAAGTTGTAGAAACATCGCAAGGATAACTAATGAAAACACGATGCACCTGAGCTCAATTTCGAGTCTCGTAGCAAAGGATCTGAATACTTATTAAAAGGTATTTCAGTTTTTTTTTTGTTTTTTTTTACATTTGCAAATATTTCTAAAAAACAGTTTTTGCTTTGTCATTATGGGGTATTGTGTGTAGATTGATGAGGGGAAAAACGTATTTAATCAATTTTAGAATAAGGCTGTAACGTAACAAAATGTGGAAAAAGTCAAGGGGTCTGAATACTTTCCGAAGGCACTACACGCACGCACGCACGCACTCACCCCACCCCCCGAGGCGATCCAAGATGTATGACTGTCAATGGTTTAGGGGGTTGGTCTAACATGACATCACTTCCTTCTCTCCACAGGAAGTCTACTGGCAGATGAACACCAGGGTATGGTGCACTACCACTTGACTGACAAGACTCTCACCTGGGCACAGGTAACTATCTCTCTTTCTCAGCCGGTCCCTATTCACTCCTTAACCCTTCTCCTTGGCCCTAACATGTCAGCCAAACTGCCTTTTTAGATTTTAGATAGGGCTCCCGAGTGGCACAGCGGTCTAAGGCACTGCATCTCAGTGCTTGAGGCGTCACTACAGACCCCCTGGTTCGATTCCAGGCTGTATCACAACCGGCCGTGATTGGGAGTCCCATAGGGCGGCGCACAATTGGCCCAGCGTTGTCCGGGTTTGGCTGGTGTAGGCCGTCATTGTAAATAAGAATTAGTTCTTAACTGAATTGCCTTGTTAAATAAAAGTTTAAAAAATACGAAGAGTGTAATGACTCTTGGCACTAAGTGTATTTGCAATTGATTTGTGTCTGACTACTCCAGACTATTGAAGTTGTCAGAAACAGCTTGTGATTTCAGTCTAAGCACTGACTCACCCTATGTGACTCACCCTGTTACTCACCCTATGTGACTCACCCTATGTGACTCACCGTATGTTACTCCCCCATGTTCCCCCTCTTTCTCTCCCCTCTCTTTATCCCCCCCATTCTCCCCCAGGTGTTTGGCACCCTGGAGGCAGCCAAAGAGAAGTACAACATCGACGACTATGCTGTGAGCCAGATCTCCCTGGAACAGGTGTTCCTCAGCTTCGCCCAGTTCCAGCACTGCAGCAGGAAATAGATGGAGCGAGGAGGAAGAAGAGGGAGGGAGCTCCATCTCTCTGTTTCTCTCTCTTTCTCTCTGTCCATCCGTCGTGTGCATCTCTCCACTCTGTGTGGATGACCTGTGTACATGGACTCGACTATGTGACGCGCCACTGAGCTATGCTCAGCTCTTGATCTACACACACTTACATACATATACACAGACAGACAGACACTGTGCAGTGATGGAGCAGAGGTTGAATCCCTGGACACCTGGACTTCAACGTGGCCGTGTTCTTGGACCGCCACAGAGACTGGACACGTTGATCCAAGCCTGGGTCTTAACCATCAACCACTCCTTTCTCTTCTGTTCAATCAGTTTGTGTGTGTTGGACATTTAGGCCAGTCCAGAGGGAAGGTTAGGGAGTTTGGTTTAGGGGGGGGGGGTCTGCTATATGACCAAGTAACCAATCTTAGATGTTACATATTTCTTGTCTTTGACGTTTAAAGACCATGTTTACCACTGGATACCACTGGATATGAGTGGTCTACTGCGAGTCTACTGTGACTCTGTGGTCTACTGCGAGTCTACTGTGACTCTGTGGTCTACTGAGAGTCTACTGTGACTCTGTGGTCTACTGAGAGTCTACTGTGACTCTGTGGTCTACTGAGAGTCTACTGTGACTCTGTGGTCTACTGCGAGTCTACTGTGACTCTGTGGTCTACTGAGAGTCTACTGTGACTCTGTGGTCTACTGCGAGTCTACTGTGACTCTGTGGTCTACTGCGAGTCTACTGTGACTCTGTGGTCTACTGCGAGTCTACTGTGACTCTGTGGTCTACTGCGAGTCTACTGTGACTCTGTGGTCTACTGCGAGGCTACTGTGTGACAGACAGGGTTGTGAATGTGTGACAGACAGGGTTGCCTCCTTTTGTGCACGTGTATGCAGCATTCTTTGTGTTATTTATGATTTTGGTCTCCTCATATGATTCTTTCTTTGGTCCTAAAGAATTGTGCCCAGTGGGTATTGTTTGTCACTGATATGATTGAAATATACAATGAAGCACTTCAAGTGAGGCAATTGTAAAACAAATCAACACAATGGTAGTAGCCCTTATAGCCTTATCAGAAACGATTGAAAGGGTGGACTTTTTTTTTTTTTTACTGGGTTAAATGCCATGCTAATGCCATGCGCTAACGCTTGCTCATCCTTTTTGGTCGGATGTAAATTACAGTGGGGGAAAAAAGTATTTAGTCAGCCACCAATTGTGCAAGTTCTCCCACTTAAAAAGATGAGAGAGGCCTGTAATTTTCATCATAGGTACACGTCAACTATGACAGACAAAATGAGGAAATAAAATCCAGAAAATCACATTGTAGGATTTTTAATGAATTTATTTGCAACTTATGGTGGAAAATAAGTATTTGGTCAATAACAAAAGCTTCTCAATACTTTGTTATATACCCTTTGTTGGCAATGACACAGGTCAAACGTTTTCTGTAAGTCTTCACAAGGTTTTCACACACTGTTGCTGGTATTTTGGCCCATTCCTCCATGTAGATCTTTTCTAGAGCAGTGATGTTTTGGGGCTGTCGCTGGGCAACACAGACTTTCAACTCCCTCCAAAGATTTTCTATGGGGTTGAGATCTGGAGACTGGCTAGGCCACTCCAGGACCTTGAAATGCTTCTTACGAAGCCACTCCTTCGTTGCCCGGGCGGTGTGTTTGGGATCATTGTCATGCCGAAAGACCCAGCCACGTTTCATCTTCAATGCCCTTGCTGATGGAAGGAGGTTTTCACTCAAAATCTCACGATACATGGCCCCATTCATTCTTTCCTTTACACGGATCAGTCGTCCTGGTCCCTTTGCAGAAAAACAGCCCCAAAGCATGATGTTTCCACCCCCATGCTTCACAGTAGGTATGGTGTTCTTTGGATGCAACTCAGCATTCTTTGTCCTCCAAACACGACGAGTTGAGTTTTTACCAAAAAGTTATATTTTGGTTTCATCTGACCATATGACATTCTCCCAATCCTCTTCTGGATCATCCAAATGCACTCTAGCAAACTTCAGACGGGCCTGGACATGTACTGGCTTAAGCAGGGGGACACGTCTGGCACTGCAGGATTTGAGTCCCTGGCGGCGTAGTGTGTTACTGATGGTAGGCTTTGTTACTTTGGTCCCAGCTCTCTGCAGGTCATTCACTAGGTCCCCCCGTGTGGTTCTAGGATTTTTGCTCACCGTTCTTGTGATCATTTTGACCCCACGGGGTGAGATCTTGCGTGGAGCCCCAGATCGAGGGAGATTATCAGTGGTCTTGTATGTCTTCCATTTCCTAATAATTGCTCCCACAGTTGATTTCTTCAAACCAAGTTGCTTACCTATTGCAGATTCAGTCTTCCCAGCCTGGTGCAGGTCTACAATTTTGTTTCTGGTGTCCTTTGACAGCTCTTTGGTCTTGGCCATAGTGGAGTTTGGAGTGTGACTGTTTGAGGTTGTGGACAGGTGTCTTTTATACTGATAACAAGTTCAAACAGGTGCCATTAATACAGGTAACGAGTGGAGGACAGAGGAGCCTCTTAAAGAAGAAGTTACAGGTCTGTGAGAGCCAGAAATCTTGCTTGTTTGTAGGTGACCAAATACTTATTTTCCACCATAATTTGCAAATAAATTAATAAAAAATCCTACAATGTGATTTTCAGGAAAAAAAATTCTCAATTTGTCTGTCATAGTTGACGTGTACCTATGATGAAAATTACAGGCCTCTCTCATCTTTTTAAGTGGGAGAACTTGCACAATTGGTGGCTGACTAAATCCTTTTTTCCCCACTGTATGTAATAGATTCATGGTACTGAAGCCACTTCCTGTAGGAAATCATTAGATTGGTTTGCAGAAACGTTGCAGGAACGTTAGCTAACAAATGCATATCTGAAATAACAACAACCTCTCTGCACTGCATTGCATTGCACAAAAAAACCGTGCTAGGTATTGAGATGCCCTCAAACCATCATCAAAATTCCTAATTGCAAGATTCACAAAGGAAAAAAAGTATCTCGAAGGATTTGGGCATGTTGGACTGTTTGGTTCCTATGCTTAGCATTGGGTCTGTCCACTGACTATAGCAGTGGACATAGATACAGAATCACTAAATCCACCTGTTGAGTTCCATATATGTTATATTGGTGAACATGTTGTCATTCCTGACCTATAACAGTTACGGTAATTATTTGACTTTAAGGGATAGGTCAACGACTTTGTAAAATGTGAAATCGCTGAACTATCCCTTAAAGTGAGGCATATTTTGGTTTGTTTACCCACACAAATTTAACTGCAGCTTAAGCATTCCATGTTAACTTTATTTGTTTGTGTGCTGTCCCTTGACTGCTGTCAATTATACTACTACAGTACTACAATGTTATTCCTGAAGGCTGAAACAAAATGACGTTTTTGCTTATGAATGTGTAGATGCATTACAGCTATGGACCAATGCACTGTTACATCCTCTTAATATAGAGCTTAGAGTACTTTACTATAGAGTAAAATAACACACCGTCCACTCAACAAACCAGTCACCTTTTTCCGTCCATTGGCTGTTGTTCTTTTCATTTGCAAAGCCTTTCTTAATGTAATTGAATGAAGCGAATGCGAGGTTTAAAGACAGTAGCTTCCACTGGAATGAAAGTATTTCTGTCCAGACAGAGAATTCCTGCTTCTTCTTGTCCCAGCATTCCATTTATTTAATTTTTTTGCTTTGTGAAAAATGATTAGGCCTAGTCCAATATTTACTCCTCTTGTGTCTAGACATGCTAACTCTCCTATGTTCTCCCAATGCTACACTGGTCGATGTGGTTATGTATCTGAACTATCAACAGTAATCATGGGAGAATAGTGTAAACGTCAGTTGACTTTTTTTTGTTGACGTTTTTTAAAAAAGTGAACTGTCCCTTTAAAATAATGTTTCTGATAATGGTTAACTTATCAATGCAACTGACTGTAAAACAGCCTCACACATGTGAGGGTCATTGTAACATGTGAAGAAACGACCATGGTCTTGTATTGCTTTCTGAACTGATGTTATTGTTAACAAACACCTATGTATTGCTGAAGGTGACATTCCTACTCATAGCTCACTCAATCTAACGAGTTGACTCTATGTATTTTTTAAAAGCACTCTTGAAGTGAACCTCTGCAACAGTAGCTGTTTCTGGGATGGTTAAACTTAAGCACTGCGTAGGATAGTTGACAAACTGATAGTTAAGTGGTTACAGACAACACTTAACTAGAGGCAGACGTTCATGCTTGGAAGACAAAAAAATAGGGCTTATTGATTATACAGGGCTCTGTCCTGACAAATGATGTTTTTGTTACGTTTCTACATATCATATAGATGCACAGTTCACCTATATGGACATGTCTTACAGCTACTTCTTGAGAATCAACCCAAATGTCACATTTTGAGTTAAGTTAAAGAGAACTTGAAAACATTGTGATGATGATGCAAATGATTAGGATAAAATACAATGTATCATATTTAAAAAAGGGAATCTTCATCATTGAAATCGTATGTACTGTATCATGGAACTAACCTTGTCTACTGTATAATTACTGCTATTATTTTTTAATTAAATTTGCTCTATGCAAATAGAAGCAAAAACAAGTATTCCTTTACTTTAGAAACACCATACTCCCATTATACATGATCAATGATGAGGTATTTCTCATTTTAAGACAGCGGTTCTATAACCTTATAAAACTGGACCAGCTGGACTCAGCCAGGAGTACACTGTGGTCATATATACTATGTTAACACCTATATGCTTGGTTTGCTAATCAGAACATGACCCATCTATATACCCTCAGTAGTTACAACCCATTTATTTCTCTGGTGTTTTCAGAGGGGAAGGCACAGAAACTTTGACTAGGGAAAGAAATCTTGCAGGACCAGTTATCTGACCTCCCTATTCCTTGCTGTATTGCCAGATTAGCGTATGTCATACAACCTGGAACCTATGGGCCGGTTTCCCAGACACAGGTTAAGCCTAGTCCTGGACTTAATAGCATGTCTAATGGATAATTTTTTGTCTAGGACTATGCTAAATCTGTGTCTGGGAAACCGACCTATGTCCTACAACCTTTATTGGGCTTGGGTTATTATTTCACTCCCCTGAATAGAAAAGTAGGGGTTGGTCAAAGACATTCGTATTACCAGGAAGCGTGGAGAAAAGTATTTAATAGTTGTGAGAGGGAATTGTGTCAGTTCTTTGTTCATGTTGTCGTGACGTGCCTTTCTCACAATCTGCTAATTGCTTCTTCAGAAAGTGTGAAACACATTCAGACCTAAAAGACAATCAAGATGAACCTGTATTGCTACTTCCTCTTATTCCGTTTTGTGATTACATTTAATCAGTGTGTTCTCTGTTTCTCAGTATAGACGGATAACTAAATGAGATAATGACAGATAATGATATCGACGTGATATCCATGTTCTAAATTCTGTTGAGAGGCTGTTCCGTTATGTTGAGCAATATGGTCAGCATATACAGTGCCTTCGGAAAGTATTCAGACCCCTTGACTCTTTCCCACATTTTGTTATGTTACAGCCTTATTCTAAAATGGATTAAATTAATAAAAATCCTCAGCAGTCTGTCTACACACAATACACCAGAATGAAAAAGCAAAAACTGTTTTTTAGAATTTTTGCAAACGTATTAAAACCCTTTGCTATGAGACTCGAAATTGAGCTCCGGTGCATCCTGTTTCAATTGATCATCCTTGAGATGTTTCTACAACTTGATTGGTGTCCACCTGTGGTAAATTAAATTGATTGGACATGATTTGGAAAGGCACACAGAGAGACACCTGTCTAGATAAGGTCCCACAGTTGACAGTACACGTCAGAGCAAAAAACAAGCCATGAGGTCGAAAGGAATTGTACGTAGAGCTCCGAGACAGGATTGTGTCGAAGCACAGATCTGGGGAAGGGTACCAAAAAATTCCTGCAGCATTGAAGGTCCCCAAGAACACAGTGGCCTCAATCATTCTTAAATGGAAGCAGTTTGGAACCACCAAGACTCTTCCTAGAGTTGGCCGCCCAGCCAAACTGAGCAATCGGGGGAGAAGGGCCTTGGTCAGGGAGGTGACCAAGAATCCGATGGTCCTCTAGAGTTCCTCTGAGGAGATGGGAGTTCCTTCCAGAAGGACAACCATCTCTGTAGCACCACCAATCAGGCCTTTATGGTAGAGTGACCAGACAGAAGCCACTCCTCAGTAAAAGGCACATGACAGCCCACTTGGAGTTTGCCAAAAGGCACCTAAATACTCTCAGTCCATGAGAAACAAGATTCTCTGGTCTGATGAAACCAAGATTCAACTCTTTGGCCTGAATCCCAAGCTTCACGTCCGGAGGAAACCTGGCACCATCCCTACGGTGAAGCATGGTGGTGGCAGCATCATGCTGTGGGGATGTTTTTCAGCGGCAGGAACTGAGAGACTAGTCAGGAATGAGGGAAAGATGAATGGAGCAAAGTACAGAGAGATCCTTGATGAAAACCTGCTCAGGACCTCAGACAACGACCATAAGCACACAGCCAAGACAACGCAGAAGTGGCTTCGGGACAAGTCTCTGAATGTCCTTGAGTGGCCCAGCCAGAGCTCAGACTTGAACCTGATCGAACATCTCTGGAGAGACCTGAAAATACAGTTGAAGTCGGAAGTTTACATACATTTAGGTTGGAGTCATTAAAACTCGTTTTTCAAGCTCTCCACAAATTTCTTGTTAACAAACTATAGTTTTGGCAAGTCGGTTAGGACATCTACTTTGTGCATGACAAGTAATTTTTCCAACAATTGTTTACAGACAGATTATTTCACTTATAATTTACTGTATCACAATTCCAGTGGGTCAGAAGTTTACATTCACTAAGTTGACTGTGCCTTTAAACAGCGAAAAGTGCAAATCAATCCCAGAACAACAGCAAAGGACCTTGTGAAGATGCTGGAGGAAACGGGTACAAAAGTATCTATATCCACAGTAAAACGAGTCCTATATCGACATAACCTGAAAGGCCGCTCAGCAAGGCTACGGTTTGCATCTGCACATGGGGACAAAGATCATACTTTTTGGAGAAATGTCCTCTGGTCTGATGAAACAAAAATAGAACAGTTTGGCCATAATGACCATCGTTATGTTTGGAGGAAAGGGGGGGGCTTGCGAACCGAAGAACACCATCCCAACCGTGAAGCACGGGGGTGGCAGCATCATGCTGTGGGGGTGCTTTGCTGCAGGAGGGACTGTGCACTTCACAAAATAGATGGCATCATGAGGAAGGAAAATTATGTGGCTATATTGAAGCAACATCTCAAGACATCAGTCAGGATGTTAAAGCTTGGTCGCAATGGGTCTTCCAAACGGACAATGACCCCAAGCATACTTCCAGAGTTGTGGCAAAATGGCTTAAGGACAACAAAGTCAAGGTATTGGAGTGGCCGTCAATAAGCCCTGACCTCAATCCTATAGAAAATGTGTGGGCAGAACTGAAAAAGCGTGTGCGAGCAAGGAGGCCTACAAACCTGACTCAGTTACACCAGCTCTGTCAGGAGGAATGGGCCAAAATTCACCCAACTTATTGTGGGAAGCTTGTGGAAGGCTACCCTAAACGTTTGACCCAAGTTAAACAATTTAAAGACAATGCTACCAAATACTAATTGAGTGTATGTAAACTTCTGACCCACTGGGAATGTGATGAAATAAATAAAAGCTGAAATAAATCACTCTCTACTATTATTATGACATTTCATATTCTTAAAATAAAGTGGTGATCCTAACTGACCTAAAACAGGGAATTTTTACTTGGATTAAATGTCAGGAATTGTGAAAAACTGAGTTTAAATGTATTTGGCTAAGGTGTATGTAAACTTCCGACTTCAACTGTAGCTGTGCAGTGACGTTCCCCATCCACCTGACAGAGCTTGAGAGGATCTGCAGAGAAGAATGGGAGAAACTCCCTAAATACAGGTGTGCCACGCTTGTAGAGTCATACCCAAGAAGACTCAAGGCTGTAAGTACTGAGTAAAGGGTCTGAATACTTATGTAATACTGTTTTTGCTTTGTCATTATGGGGTATTGTGTGTAGATTGATGAGAAAAATACAACAAATTTAATAAATTTTAGAATAAGGCTGTAACCTAACAAAATGTGGAAAAAGTCAAGGGGTCTGAATCATTTTGAAGGCAGTGTAAGCTCATGCTTTTCTTTTCTGTATCGGGAGATGGAGCTGAAAAAGTGGAAACTTATGTTGACATCAACAAGAAGGAGATAAAAGAGTTGATCAAGGGCCTGAATGAGACTCGCAACCCTGAGATGTGTAGTGGCTTTGTGGACTTGTTCCTTGTCCGAAAGCAGACCCCGGAGGTATGGAGAGTTAACGCAGTAACTTTCATCAGTGGCATCACATATTGCCTAGGGGCCCTAGTTTCACTTTTAGTTTCATATTTCAGTTTCAGTTTTTATAATTATTTCCGTTTACTAGCTAGTTTTAGTTTACTATAATAACCTTGGAGTTGTCATCATCATGTGTGTTCTTTGAATCAGCCATGTGACTTCTATATGTTATTTGTGGGTCTGTGTCTGTCAGGATGCAGGCCCCATGGACTCCTTCTACCACAACGATAACCTCATGTATTCTGTGATGAATCTGTTTGCTGCTGGTACCGGCACCACAGAGACAACCCTTCGATGGGCGCTGCTGCTCATGACCCACATACAGTGTAAGGACCAATAGATACAGCCAGATACAGATTGATGATCATGCGTAACTACGACAAATAACATTTCTGTCACATACAACAAAACACATTTCTGTGTAGCTTTACCTATGTTGTTCTGCTTTAGAATTTCACAGACCTTCCTAGTTCTTGTTTGAAGGTCCCTTGAGGTTGAGGTTTAACTTTATAGTAACTTTGGTCCTCCCTTCTTTCTGTCTCAGACCGGGTCCAGGAGGAGATCAGCAGGGTTATAGGAAGTCATCAGCCCTTGGTAGAGGACAGGAAGAACCTGCCCTACACTGATGCAGTGATCCATGAGACCGAGAGACTGGCCAACGTTGTACCCATGTCCATCACTTACACCACCAGCTGAGACGTCACCTTCCAGGGATACTTAATCAAAAAGGTTAGATACCTGGTTTTCATCATACATTTGCATGTACATTTCCATGACTATAATGTATTGGTTATTGTAGAGACAAATCTCTTACACTGAAACTGCACTGTCATACTAGAAACACCAGATATCTGATTTGAATCTGTAATGTTTAAAACATTTATACAATTAGAGATCATTGAATTGCTCTGTAAGTAAACCCATCTTTTAGCAAGTGTTGTAATGTTGATGTCAATCATCTCTTATACTCTGGATTTGTCTCTAATTCTATTGGTTGTAAGGGTCGTCTGTGTTTCCTCTGCTGACCTCCGTCCTGCAGGACAAAAGCGAATGGGAGAGCCCCCACACCTTTAACCCCGCCCACTTTCTGGATGAGCAGGGGCGATTCATCAAGAGGGCCACCTTCATGGCCTTTTCTGCAGGTATTAATAACTCCTTCAATGTACCTTTGTAGCACGAGGCAGGAAGTAGTTCTAGAATAATCTATTGGACAGACTTCATGTTATCTCCCATCTCTTTCTCTCACAGGTCGTAGGGTGTGTCTGGGGGAGGGTCTGGCCAGGATGGAGCTCTTCCTCTTCTTCACCTCCCTCCTGCAGCACTTTAGTTTCTCTCCTCCTCCTGGAGTAACAGAGGATGATCTGGACCTCACACCATTACTGGGGTTCACCCTCAACCCTTCACCTCACCAGCTCTGTGCTGTGAGCTGGGTCTAAGGAGAGAGTTTGAGGAGTGAATCTCGGCCCAATGCACATAAAGGACTCTGTAGCTCAGCTGGTAGAGCACGGCGCTTGTAACGCCAAGGTAGTGGGTTTGATCCCCGGGACCACCCATACACAAAAATGTATGCACGCATGATTGTAAGTCGCTTTGGATAAAAGCGTCTGCTAAATGGCATATTATTATTATTATAATAAATATCGATCATGTGTAGTAGTTCACCTGTTGGGTGTTGATGAATGTTGACGATTTTAACATGTTGAATCATTAAGAAATTAACAGAACATTACAGCTGATGATCAGGTCAGAGGCAATATAGTGCTTTAACCGTTCAGCTGATGATCAGGTCAGAGGCAATATAGTGCTTTAACCGTTCAGCTGATGATCAGGTCAGAGGCAATATAGTGCTTTAACCGTTCAGCTGATGATCAGGTCAGAGGCAATATAGTGCTTTTAACCGTTCATCTGCACAGCATTTCTATTGTGGTTGCTAGTTCTACTTCCTGTGATGCCCTTATTGGGGATTACAATAATTATAAGGAAAAACAAGACATTTACTTTTAAGAAAATGCCCCATGGGGACAAATAAAGTGTATTAAATGTAATTGAATGTTGAGAATTCCTTGTCATTGGACGACACCTCAGTAATATGGATCTGCACTTGATCAAGGGCCATAGAGTGCTTGTCATCATTATCAGGTTCAGTCAAAACTTTGCTGCAGTCCTTGGTGACCGCTAAATTAATATCAGTAGAGTGGGCATCACTGTTTGGCTCAATCTCCGAGGTAGGGATGTTGACATCCTCCCTGGCCAGGAGGAGTTGGATGGTGGCAGTTAAATATCTGCGCGCCAGGGGTTGCCATTCGTTGGAGTCAGGGAGCTCTCCCTCTGGGCTTTTACAGAGGAAGCTTCCACCATGTTTGCCAGTCTGTGGGGTGACAGTGACTGGAATATCTCCTGTGGTGGAGTCAAGGTCCTCTATGAGTTGGTCCACCATGAGGTGTTGGTAGGCCGATGAGACCCCATGGACAATTGGTTCCCACTGGTCCCATTGGTCAGAGGACTCTACTCCTGAGCCTCCAGTGTTGAAGCTTCCACTACTAATAAGTGGGGAGGACGGGGAGCAGTCATGGACCCATTCAGTGTTGTAAGATAGTGCATACGCATATTTGTCACCAATGATCTTGTGCCAATTTTGATAGAGATTTGATTCTTTCAAAACCCTCAGCATACTTCCTGTTGTCCCTTCTGAAAGAGACACCATGGCAACACAGTATAAGCAAACAATTGAGTTTCACCTGTTTTTTTACGAATGAAGTGTGGAAGTTATTACTATTCTATCTCAGTGCTGCTGTATGAGACAGCTTATATAGCATTAGTAAGAACTCGAGGTCGAAATGAAGTAAAACCAGTAGTTAACCAAATACTAACTAGGCCTAAATGGATACAATCAAAATCCTCACCTGATAGGGAAATGTGATGTGTGGCCCGGTGGACAATATTGAGCGTACCCACCGGAGTAAACAAGGAAGATAAGCGCAGGAAACTCAGTATAAAATGTTGTGCTTTACTGTAATGTTGACATTACAAACAATGCATTATATTCTATGGCATGAGCCGCTGTGCTTTACTCTGCATCATTTGAATGAACATTCTATGTTCCCATGGAAATCCAGCATTAGTTGATAGAACATTCCAAATTACAATATTCAATTACTAGAGGGCCTATGTCATAAACCCTCAACATTCCAGAATGTGTTGATAATGGCAGCCATATTGGTCAGGGAGAAATCCTACCAGTCTAATTGGAATAAATGGCAGTAGAGGCATAATCCTGATTTTACTTCTGCAGGAAAATAACATTAAGGCTTGATATATCAGAAAATGTGTAATAGAATTGTCAACCTGAAGTGTTGTCATATAATTACAAATACTGTTCATACAGATTTTATATCCATTTTCTGTATAAATAGCCTTTAAAATACAGTATATGTAAACAGACCATAAATGTATTATTGTTTTATTGGAATGCTTTGAGTGCTATTATATGATACAATATCAGTACTTGTTGCATTTACAACTAGTCCAATTCATATCATCAACTGATTTCACCCATTGTATGGCTGTGGATTGACTGCATTGTTTGAATGGAATTTCATATTGGCAGTTAATTTGAAAAATGTATGGAATTCTTCCACTAAAACTGGCTGGCTAGCTAGCTAACAATAATACAGAGCAGATAAATTATTCAAATTCATTATTTTACACACTATCCTATCCAGTGGCAATTTTAGCATGTCAATCTTGGTGGGGCAAAAAATATATGCATGCCAGCAAAGCCACTACACAACACAACACTAAACAATACATTAATTGCACTATAATGGTGACAAATTGTGCCCACAAACTGTTCGAGTCCAAACAGCAGTCCCAACTCCTTACCACTGCTACACCTGGCTATCAGCGGAGCCTTGTCTGGCAGCGAAACAGTTCATTCAGCCTCATTTACTACCTTTAAAAAATATATAGCTGATATGGCTGACTTGCTTAAACAAATGTGGTTCCTACTGACAATTGAGATGTACAAACTATGGCATAAGGGGACGACAAGCGGATAAGAGGAAATCCGTAATTTCGATTAAAACATTAATGAGCGAGCTAGGATAGACGAAGTCAATATAACACTATTGAAATGTACAGCGACAGAATTCTGAACATGGGCCGTTCTTACAGTATTCTCCCTGTACACCAAGTCAGAACCGTAGGATAAATAAAGGGCACATATAAGCAGACAATGTAAGCTCTTACAATATTTAATGATTACATTTCTCTAAAACAGGTTATAGGCTACATGTGCACCACCAAGTCAGAACAGTAGGCGAAATTAAAGAGGGGAAAATAGACCAAATGATTAGGGTGAGGCACATGGGCTACTAACAGCTTACTACACAACATACACTTAGTATTACTTTCTTAGATACAGTATACATATCTCCCTGGCATATTACATCATTTATGCAGCAGCATACAATACATTTTTGGACTCACCTTGTTGTGCTGTGCTCACTTGAACAGGAAGGTGGCGCGGCGGTCCTTCCTGAACAAATTTTGTCATCAAACTTTGTCATCAAAGTCTGGTGTTCTCTGGATTTATGGTGCTTTCAAGACAACTGGGAACTCTGAAAAAAATAAGGTCGAATCATGATGACGTCAGTGATCTTCAGGTCGTAGCTCAAGAAAGAGGCCCGAATTCCCGATTTACAATTCCGAGTTGGATGACCGTTCAAAACGTATTTTCCCAGTCGGAGCTCGTTTTTTCCCGAGTTCCCAGTTGTCTTGAACTCACTGAAATCAGATTTCCCAGTTCCAAGTTCAGTTGTTTTGAGCGCAGCAGAAATCATGCTTGATTGACAGCATGGCTAATGCTGAATGTTTATCATTTTAAACTTGGAAAAGAGACCCTTAAATCCAGACTTGGGACCACACACCCACTCCACTGAATAGCAGGCTAGTGATTGCTTTGCAATGCTTGCAGTTAGCCACTGATTCCATTGTTGAATTTGCGATTTCCAACTTGTTGTGTAATGTTTATGTCCAATGGCCAATGAGCATCGATACATTTTATCTATAATTTCTCTTTATTATTTCTCTTTATATCACTAGGATTAAAAAGTATTTGCCAGTAGATTGTCGACTTGATTCATAATGATGACTTAAAAAAAAGATATATACAATTTCTAATTACAATACAATAACAAAAAACCCTAGGACATCACTACACGTATATTTTCTCTGAAGAAACATAAAATAACATTAAAATAAAATAAATGAAATAAGGTCAGGGGTTAGAGTTGTACAAACCTATGATAGTTGTAAGAATATAGTGTTTTTTTCTGTTATTGACTAATTCTAGAGATTTTATTAAATATTGGATTTCAAGTAAAATATATATTGCATTTGGGGACAGATTTCAAATATTTGTTTTTGTGTATATAACATTTATCAGAGTGAATGAAAAAATTAACGACTAATTCAGTAGTTTGTTTTCATTTGAATAACAACATATTACATCTTTCATTGTAAATACATGGGTCTTATTGATGAAATAAAAAAATGTAAATGCTTAACTCGCTCCAAAATAACTTCACAGAGTCACACATAAAAAAAATTGTATAATAGTTTCCCCTTCTTTGTCACAAAAGGCATATGTCTTCTAAGTCCATGAATTTAGACAAGTTATTGCAAGGGTATATTTTGTGCAAGATTTTAAAGCGAATTTCTTCCACCTTATTTTATATACAAAATGTGTGAGGGAGCAACCAAGCTTTCTTCCATTCAATTTCAGTAATATATGCATTTCAGAAGAATTTCCCTCTAGAAGAGATCTTGTTCTTGGAGTTAAAGTTATCTTATGAATGTATTATTACATTTCTTATCCAGCAGGGGGCAACCTCCTAACATAAATTGTGCATCTAGCTTGACATGTTCTCCAAAACACATACATTTACATTTACATTTTAGTCATTTAGCAGACGCTCTTATCCAGAGCGACTTACAGTTAGCGCATACATTATTTTATCGAACCCACAACCCTGGCGTTGCAAACGCCATGCTCTACCAACTGAGCTACATCCCCTGCCGGCCATTCCCTCCCCTACCCTGGACGACGCTGGGCCAATTGTGCGCCGCCCCATGGGTCTCCCGGTCGCAGCCGGCTACGACAGAGCCTGGATACGAACCAGGATCTCTAGTGGCACAGCTAGCACTGCGATGCAGTGCCTTAGACCACTGCGCCACTCGGGAGGTTGAGACAGATGAGATTTCATTAATTGAGTAATGCTTTGCATATAGAATTACATTCTTTATAATGTATTGGGAAGTTATATGTTTCTAAGAACTTTCTAGAAGAGAGTATATTTCCTTCTTTATCAAATAAATCAAGCACAAATATAATATTTATTTCAAACCACTTAGGGAAGAACAAATACTTGTTTTTAACAACAATATTGTTGTTGTTCCACAGAAGTGCCTTGTGTGGGGAGAAGTTGTGGACATAACATAGTTTCCAGGCTGAAAGGGCTTGTTCATGAAATTTTGACAGTTTGATGGGTAATTTTGCCAGAGAATAGTTGCACTTCCACAAAAATTGAAGAACACCCAATTTCATAAAAATATGACAGGGAATGAAGTACCATATAGATTCAGAGCTAAGCATACATATTTTTTATCCAGTTTACTTTAAAGGCATTGTTGAAATCTAGTACCCGAAGCCCACTATCAGCTCTTTGGTTTGATATTACAGACTAATTCAGTTTGCGTTGTTTATTTTTCCATATAAAGTCTAGGAAAGTTTTGTTGATATCCTTGCTGGTTTGATCAGCTACAAATAGGGATAGAGCAGGGTAGACAAAACGTGACAGACCCTCTGCTTTGGACAATAAAACCCTTCCAATAATATAGAGGTCACGCTGGAGCCAGTTATTGTGGATATTGTTTCCTTTAAACTCTGAGAGAAATTGAGATGTTGACAGACAATATGGTTTTTCGCCATGTGCACCCCTAAATATTTCAGATTATTTTTCACTGGAATATTCTCAACAGATTGGTCATTTGAGTTATGCAGGGACAATATTTAGCATTTATTTAAGTTAAGTTCCAGACCAGAAGCAGAAGAGAATGATTTGATCATATTAAGTGCAATAACAACTTGATCCTTGTCTTTTAGAAACAGAGCTGTATCGTCTGCTAATTAAGATATTTGTATATATTTTCCAAATATTGAAATACCTTTTAATACAGGGTTGTTTAAAATGCTAATAGATAGGAATTCTACAACTAAAAGGGATAAGAAAGCTGACATAGGGCAACCCTGGTGTACACTACGGTGAATATTAAATATTTTAGATGTGTTACGATTAATCATAATAGAACTACTAATATCTTTATAAAACATATTGATAACAGAGACAAAGCTAGTCCCGAAACCAAAAGTGTACAACGAACGTATTAGGGACTAGTGTTCAATTGTATCAAATGCTTTACAAAAGTCAAAGAATAAAATAATAGCCTCGGAGTCAACTGAATCAGCGTAATCAATCAAGTCTAAAACTAACCTAATGTTACAGCTGATATGGCGACCTTTCTTGAAACCAGTTTGGGTTTCATTAATAAGGTGGTTTAGGCCCATTTTAAGTCTATTAGCATATGCTAATCTTTTTGTAATCTGTAATCTGTATTTAATAATGTAATTATATATGAAAAGGGGATCTTTATCAGGTTTTGGTATTAAGGAAATAACCCCTTGTTTCATGGTAGTAATCATCTCAGCCTTAGCTAGGCATTCTTGGAACATGTTGAATACTGGTCGCTCTAAATGTTTCCAAAAGTGTAAATAGAATTCCACAGAAAGACCATCTGTTCCAGGTGCTTTGCCCTTCTTCATAGATTTAAGAGCATCTCTAATCTCTACTATAGAAAACTCCTCTTCACATATGGACTTGAACTCATCAGAAATAATTGGAACATGAGCATGGAGTAAAAAGTACATAATTTTCTTTAGGAATGTAGTGGAGTAAAACTAGTAAAAAATAGAAATAGTCAAGTACAGATACCCAAAAGATTACTTAAGTAGTACTTTAAAGTATTTTTACTTAGGTACTTTACACCGCTGGCTATGCTAATATCAGTATTGCCCTGTAACTTTTATGTGAATTGGCTTCTCATGACCATTCCTTGATCTTAGTCAGCTAAACTCATAATACTTGATTGCACATTTTAACTATAATATGTAATGGAGTCAGATAGTCAGGTTTATCAAATGTAGATTGTTAAATATGATTTAGCCCTAGAGTAGACTCAGATATTATAAACCAGTGGCATGCCACAGTTGCCTGGGTGTGTATGAGGACATCATATTAGTCATCGTACGTCAGCTTCACTGGTTTTTTCCAACAGACTAATCATACATTTAATACTCACCATTGTTGCCTCTGATTTCTTTGCAGCTCCTGGGTTTTGGCTCCTGGGCTCTGGGGCTGTAACTTACATTCTATAGCGGAATCCCTTACCCAGACAACAGAGACAGTTAGATTGAGCAGTATTTCTGATGTAAAAATAAAATGTTATGTGGTTAGATCAACAGTAACTTTCTCCGAAACGTAAAGATTTCGCTATAATTCTTTCAGTTGGATAGTTTTATGATGAGTTTCTCTGGTATCTAGTACTTCAGGATGTAAGAGAATAGTTAAACACTTAGATGGAGAGTTGGTTCAGAGTTATTTAATATTACATTACTGGATTCACATGACAAGTGGTACGGGTGTAGCCTATTGTCATCTGAATGATAGGCATACAAAATCTCTCTGTTTATATACGGCTTTGCAAGCTAATTCCATTTTGCACCCTAATAAGGATATTCCATCACGTACTCATTCTAAGATTAACACAAGTGGCCCCCAAGCTATAATAACATGCCATTTAGCAGACGCTTTTATCCAAAGCGACTTACAGTCATGCGTGCATACATTTTTTTTTTGTGTATGGGTGGTCCTGGGGATCGAACCCACTACCTTGGCGTTACAAGCGCCGTGCTCTACCAGCTGAGCTACAGAGGACCACCTTGGCACGCAGACCTTCTGGCACCCATCAGTGACAGAAATAACTACATGGAATGTCCTTATCCTCTCAATCCCATGCATCTCATAAGATCAAAGACATTTTTTTTTTTTTTTTTTTTTCACCTTTATTTAACCAGGTAAACCAGTTGAGAACAAGTTCTCATTTACAACTGCGACCTGGCCAAGATAAAGCATAGCAGTGCGATAAAAACAAACACAGAGTTACATATGGGGTAAAACAAAACAAAGTCAAAAATACAACAGAAATACATATAATATACAGTGTGCAAATTTAGCAAGTTATGGAGGTAGGCAATAAAATAGGCTATAGTGCAAAATAATTACAATTAGTATTAACACTGGAATGATAGATGTGCAAGAGATGATGTGCAAATAGAGATACTGGGGTACAAATGAGCAAAATAGATAACAATATAGGGATGAGGTAGTTGGGCGGGCTAATTTCAGATGGGCTGTGTACAGGTGCAGTGATCGGTAAGGTGCTCTGACAACTGATGCTTAAAGTTAGTGAGGGAGATAAGTGTCTCCAGCTTCAGAGATTTTTGCAATTTGTTCCAGTCATTGGCAGCAGAGAACTGGAAGGAATTGCGGCCAAAGGAGGTGTTGGCTTTGGGGATGACCAGTGAGATATACCCGCTGGAGCGCAGACTACGGGTGGGTGTTGCTATGGTGACCAATGAGCTAAGATAAGGCGGGGATTTGCCTAGCAGTGATTTATAGATGGCCTGGAGCCAGTGGGTTTGGCGACGAATATGTAGTGAGGACCAGCCAACAAGAGCGTACAGGTCACAGTGGTGGGTATTATATGGGGCTTTGGAGACAAAACGGATGGCACTGTGATAGACTACATCCAATTTGCTGAGTAGAGTGTTGGAGGCTATTTTGTAAATGACATCGCCGAAGTCAAGGATCGGTAGGATAGTCAGTTTTACGAGGGCATGTTTGGCAGCATGAGTGAAGGAGGCTTTGTTGCGAAATAGGAAACCGATTCTAGATTTAACTTTGGATTGGAGATTCTTAATGTGAGTCTGGAAGGAGAGTTTACAGTCTAACCAGACACCTAGGTATTTGTAGTTGTCCACATACTCTAGGTCAGACCCGTCGAGAGTAGTGATTCTAGTCGGGTGGGCGGGTGCAAGCAGCGTTCGGTTGAAGAGCATGCATTTAGTTTTACTAGTGTTTAAGAGCAGTTGGAGGCTACTGAAGGAGTGTTGTATGGAATTGAAGCTCGTTTGGAGGTTTGTTAACACAGTGTCCAATGAAGGGCCAGATGTATACAAAATGGTGTCGTCTGCGTAGAGGTGGATCTGAGAGTCACCAGCAGCAAGAGCGACGTCATTGATATACACAGAGAAAAGAGTCGGCCCAAGAATTGAACCCTGTATAATATAAAAATACATTATATCAGATAGACTAGAAAGATATTAAATAATCAGAATGCAAAATTATTCTGTTTTGTGACGTAAAGCGACAGTAAGCATCAACAATTAAGTGGGAAAATTATTATAGAGTACCTGGGGCCTCTTTTATTAAAATGTACTTAGATTTCAAACTTTGAGTATAAGATTCGATTTATAAAATGGTTTTACGAATGTGGCGGGGTGACTGCTTTGTTGTTTTTCAAATACCAAATTAAACTTACAGTGGACACACAGGCCTATGATCCCAGCCAGCAGGAAAGCACACAGCAGCCCCAGACACACTACAGCAGCTACGGGGGATCTTCTCCCCGGGCTCTTAGATTCTGAAAAGAGAAGGTGTTTCTATAACCTACAATCATTTTTGCATTAACTGCCTAAACATCTGAGTGCAAACACACCAAATAATGTGCATGACACAAGTGATACAAGCATGGATAATAAGTGTGTGTGTGTGTTTGTTTGTTGTGTGTGTGTGTGTGTATATATAAATAGCGGTATAGCTTTATACACTACCAGAGTGTTTCGCTCCTGGTGTTTGTTTTCCCATACCATCTTCATTGAGATAAACATTGTCCCCAGATATCTCCATGGTCTACCACTGTCTCAATTTGACAGTCGTCCAGTGAGTCTGGGACTTATATATGACAGTAATCACGATGCACAGGAAACTGCAGGGTTGGTTAGTAATGGATTACATGTTACAGGTATTACGTAATCAGATTACAGAAATGAAGTAATTTATCAACCCAGATTACTTTTAAAATCCAGTTCCAGTCAAAAGTTTGGACACACCTAATCATTCAAGGTTTTGTCTTTATTTTTACTATTTTCTACATTGTAGAATAATAGTGAAGACATCAAAACTATGAAATAACACATATGGAATCATGTAGTAACCATAAAAAGTGTTAAACAAATCAAAATATATTTTATATTTGTGATTCTTTAAACAGCCACCCTTTGCCTTGATGACAGCTTTGCACACTCTTGGCATTCTCTCAACCAGCTTCACGAGGTAGTCACCTGGAATGCATTACAATTAACAGGTGTGCCTTGTTAAAAGGTAATTTGTGGAATTTCTTTCCTTAATGTGTTTGTGCAAATCAGTTGTGTTGTGACAAGGTAGGGGTGGTATACAGAAGATAGCCCTATTTGGTAAAATACCAAGTCCATATTATGGCAAAAACAGCTCAAATAAGCAAAGAGAAACAACAGTCCATCATTACTTTAAGACATGAAGGTCAGTCAATCCGGTAAATTTCAAGAACTTTGAAAGTTTCTTCCAGTGCAGTCGCAAAAAACATCAGGCGCTATGATGAAACTGGCTCTCATGAGGACCGCCACAGGAAAGGAAGACCCAGAGTTACCTCTGCTGCAGAGGATAAGTTCATTAGAGTTACCAGCCTAAGAAATTGCAGCCCAAAAGATGCAGAGTAGGGTGTGTGGTTCCCACCGTGAAGCATGGAGGAGGAGGTGTGATGGTGTGGGGGTGCTTTGCTGGTGACACTGTCAGTGATTTATTTAGAATTCAAGGCACACTTATCCAGCATGGCTACCACAGCATTCTGCAGCGATACGCCATCCCATCTGGTTTGCGCTTAGTGGGACTATCATTTGTTTTTCAACAGGACAACGACCCAACACACCTCCAGGCTGTGTAAGGGCTATTTGACCAAGAAGGAGAGTGATGGAGTGCTGCATCAGATGACCTGGCCTCCACAATCACCCGACCTCAACCCAATTGAGATGGTTTGGGATGAGTTGGGCCGCAGAGTGAAGGAAAAGCAGCCAACAAGGGCTCAGCAAATGTGGGAACTCCTTCAAGACTGTTGGAAAAGCATTCCAGGTGAAGGTGGTTGAGAGAATGCCAAGAGTGTGCAAAGGGTGGCTACTTTAAATATAAAATATATTTTGATTTGCATTGGTCTAAGGCACTGCATCGCAGTGCTAGCTGTGCCACTAGAGATCCTGGTTTGAATCCAGGCTCTGTCGTAGCCGGCCGCAACCGGGAGACCCATGGGGCGGCGCACAATTGGTCCAGCGTCGTCCAGGGTAGGGGAGGGAATGGCCGGCAGGGATTTGGCTCAGTTGGTAGAGCATGGCGTTTGCAACGCCAAGGTTGTGGGTTCATTTCCCACGGGGGGCCAGTATTAAAAATAAAAATAAATTTGTTTAATGTATGCACTCACCAACTGTAAGTCGCTCTGGATAAGAGCGTCTGCTAAATGACTGAAATGTAAAAATGTGTTGATTACACTGTGATTCAAATAACAGTTAATTTATTCACCACATGTGGTGTCAATATCAATCCCACTGGTGTTAACCCCACTACAACCAACACTCAGATATAACACTTTTTACATTAACACCAGGATTTTAACACTTGCTAATTTGCTGTGTAGGTTCCTTCTGTCTAGTGAGTTTCTGATACCGCATTGCTTGCTTTTAGGCTGGGTATCTGTAAAGCAGTTAGTGACAACTGCAGAGGTTAAAATGCCTTTATAAAAACAGCTGATTTTTGTATTACTTCATGTAATATCACACAGCTCGGAAGTCACCTTTCAGTGGGAATGGAATCTTTTCCTTTATGTTCTAATCTTTTTGAAATCTCCCAAACTGCCTAATTTGCTCTCCATGCTTGCTCTCAATGGAATATTTTCCTTTATGTTCTAATCTTTATGAAATCTCCCAAGCTGCCTAATTTGCTCTCCATGGTTCCTTTCCACAGAAACTTTTTTAAACTACAAGAGTCAGACCCCCACTTACTGAGAACTGAATCATCCCACATTTGATCAGGATCTTTGTGTCAAAAGGACATTTAGAAATAGTTAACACAGCTTCACCTCCCAAGTACTGGGATGACACATGACAAATCCACTGATTACTCAGTTACAGTTCTACTTTCAGTGGAAACGAGTACATTAAAATCTACCTGTCTGTCTTTGCAGACAGATCTACATGTTTTTTCAAACTTTGAATAGT